GACAGTATTATTTTTTTGAGATAAAATCAAAGATTTGGTCTTGTGGAAGACAGCATAAGTAACGGACTTACAGATTACATAGTGATGGTCAGGAGTATCATAGGCTATGACTGCTGAAGTAAAGGTCTACATCTCTCTTATGTTTGAAGTATCACAGGCTTCCCAACATTTCAAGGTGTATTTAATAGGGTAGTGCAGATGTATTGCTTCTGTCCTGGTAACTTACATTGCAAGAAGAAATTTTGCCAGGGAACAAATAAAAAAACTCCACTCCTTCAGCAGATACTGACTTTAGAAACAGCTAAAAAGAACCCTATAGCCTCTTGGATTCCAGAGATTTGGAATACCACAGAACATGACTGGAGGCAAAGATCTACATACCTCCATTCTTGAAGCATTACAGGCTTCTGAGGAACATCACAAGACACATTTAATACTGTAATGCAGATGTACTGATCTTGTCCTTACAGCCTGTGATGGAAAAAAATTTTGCCACTAAACAAATAAAATTAATTAAAAAAATAAACCCCAAACCAAAACAACCTACATTGTTTTTATGTCAACAAATAATCTCTGTAATTTGGATGACACTTAGGTAACAAGGAGTTTTTAATTCTAGCCTCCCCAAAAGGCACTTTTTCTAGCACATAATAATGTGTGTGGATAGATCCGTATATAAAATACACATGACGTATATGTCAATAGATATATTATACTTTGTATGTAAAATTAAGGAATATAGTTATTAATGGATGAGTAACTACTTCAGTGCATTTCATAATTAGAAGGTACTGCTTCTAAAATTAGTGGATTCTATGATTGAAACTAGTCGCTTTAGTTTTCAAGTAGGAGATATGTATGTAGTCTAGATGTTATGTTTATATGTATGTTTGTGCAGTAGAATGTTCTGGTCTAATACCAGTGTTCCTGTGTAGAAAAAAAATGCATGGTACTTCCTGCAAGTTATCTAGAATCATTATTGCAATTATATGCAATAAAATCTCTTCGGTAATTAAAAGTGAATGGAACAAACCCAAATTGTTTTCTTAATGATTTGTTCAGTTCTTGTATTTGACTTCTCATATTTCCTTCTGATCATTATAGGCTCTTATATCATTACTGATACAGGCGTTTACATACTTGAATAAAGTCTTTTTCTTTGCTAATGTTTAGACATTTTCCTTAGTTTCTTTTTTTTGCTATATAGTCTTTGAAGCCTGGATCTTTATTCAGGGTACCACTTAAATGCATGCACTAAGTCATTAAGCATGCTTTAAAGCCAATGTTTATCTTCAACACTGGTGGCACTTAACCGTGTCCAAGAGGCATAGTTATGATTTTTCTTTTATATGGGTAGTACTACTGCTATCTATTTAAAGGCCTGTCTAGCTGACTAAAGTGAGGAAAACTTGGCTTGAACACAAAATTTAATTTTTTTAATTTTATTCAAAATCCTCTCTAGTGGTGCATATGTGTGTGGAACAGGACGTAGGCGCGGGAGAAGAACACTTTTGGGGAATGGAGTGCCTCTAAAATAATTTAAAGATATCTGCAGTACTGTTTGTAACCCTGCTATGAAAAATTACTGCTTTCAAAGACAATTGAATAGACAGTATCAAGAAGGACAGTGAATTACCAACTTTTAAATTAATTTCAGACATTATATAGAGCCATGGAAGTAGTTGCAGATTACTTAGTCTTTGCTGAATCCAAAAGAACAAAATAAATCTGTTCATCTGTCAAAGTCTTTCATGCAAAAGCAAGTGGTAATTCAGAAATTTTAAATAATTCCTGTTATGAAAAAATACTGGTTTTACTGATGGCTTTCTTCTGAAGCTGCTATTCTAATCCTGTATGTTGATCAGGCTATATTTATTATTCAGGACTAAATCCATGGTTAACCTGGTAAATCTCTTTTTTTCAGTAATAGGCGTATAATTACATTTCATAGTTATTATGGTAATTCATAAATACTATTGTAAGACTCCACAAATAATCATATAGAGCAGCATTTTGTTAGACAAGTTCTACAGAGACTTCATAAAATTCTCTGTATTTACATACTTGAATCACTGCAAGCAGTGTATTCAGATTTAGATAGTCAACATGTAAAAGTCTAGAGCTTCAGTATTTTAACTGTATTTTGTAGATACTGAATTATAATATCCTTCAGTCCCCAGCCCTTCTGAAATGTAAGCCATTTCTTTAGGAGCTTGCTGATAAAGAACCAAGTCCTTTTTCTGTTTAAAGAGATAAAATACATACCACCAAACAACAATACAGTATATATTGCATAGAGTTACAGTGGCAGTACTGAGAAGATGCTTTCTGTCTGGAATTTTGCCCTTTCTTGCAGCAGGTAAATTACAAATTTTACCAGTTTTTCATGTAAGACACATGGAAACTGGAAAGTATTCACTAAGAAAGTATGTGGCTGTATTATTAACATACTCATGTGGAAAGAATTAATGGACTCATCAGTCTGAGAAATAAATGCTTATATTTTACTCTTGTTTTTGAAGAAGTATGAACATAAAGCCAAATCAACATTTGTAGGCTGACTTACACACAATTAAGGAATGGCAGATCTGGAGAAATTCTAATAACTGAGTTGCTACTCTTCTTCAAAATACACTGGTTAAGAGTGATGCAGGCTAAAGATGAAAAAGCTAGGACACATGACCAGTAGCGTAGAAATGTGAGCAAAAAACAGCTAAACCACAAGGTTTTATAGTTAATGTCTTCCTATTGTATTAAATATTTGGTTTTGCTGATGAAGCTATTTCTGCTTTAGCCTGTTTAGATCACAGATGCTTTTTATGTAATCTAATTAGATACTTGGAATACAGATTACTGCTGGCTGAGACACCAGTCTTTATAACTGAACATATATTAGATACCTGAAATAGTGTTTCTTCTCAGGTGCCAAATGGGAGAGGTGACAAAACCAGAAGGTTTTTACAAGAGCTCTTCAGAGTAGTGCTCACCTGGGACGATGAAAACTTTCACTTCGGAAATTGAGTCTTTTAGCTGCTTTTCTAGAATTCTGCAGCCAAATAAATAATATAAAAAGTTGTTCTTATCTCGAGAAAAAACCCTCCACAAACTCACCCAAAGAAACAATGGCACCACCTCTCATCCTCCCCCCATCCTTCCAAAAAACACCCATCCCCAGACTACAAGAAAACCTCCTCTCCAGCCAACAGTAAAAACCCCACTGACCTCCCACAGAGCGTGTTGTGCATTCATGGAAGCGAGCTGGGGGCTTTGGTGAAAGGAGTAGCTTGTGCTTATGTCTTCCCTGTCTGAGGGAAGTGGCAGTGCTGTGAAGAACTGGCAGTTTTGTGAAGTTAAAGGTCTGTCTCTGCTTTCCAGGGGACATTGTGTGTGAGGTGGTGGTGGTGAGGGTGTTCTTGTTCTTATGAGAACTTTCCTCTGTGTCCTAGATCTGTTTTGATTAGAGACTTGGCATGCTAACTTGCTTTCCCGTGCAGCCTGTCTGATGAGGCTCTCTGCTGCTTTTCTTTGGCATCGTCCAGTCCATCCAAAGCATGTCTTTTAGCTATCTTGGCATTTGAGAACTTTTTCCATCTCTGCCACAAGGCTGACTCTGGCTCAGAGAATTCTTGCTGTTATTTCCTAAGACAGAACTGATGTGAAAACACTGTTACTCACGGTTTTAATCTTAAGGCTGAGTGACATGTATACAAATGATAAAGCAACTTTTGATTTTGGGTAAATTAAATGGTTTGTTTTGCATTGGGCAACTTCAGGGACTTTCTGGTATGTTCCTAAGTAACACATCTTTGAGAAAAACACAGTCTTATTCTTTATTCAGACAGGTAAGCTTTTATAGCTCAGTATCTTTTCCAGTTATGGTGGATACTGTAGGAATAAATTTTTATGGTTTAATGTGTTGTGAGTTTATATATTTTAGTTACCAACTTTTTACATATCTGGATAGGTGAACACTTAACATCTATGTTGAACACCAGAGCTGACCTACTACTGTGCTGTTTTGATCTTGACGTGCAATAGATTTGGAGTATTGATGCCCAGTGTTTTGGATTGTTAAGTTTCTGGCATCCCTTTCCAATTGACGTGCCGAGGCTATTTCTTTCACTGTAGCCCAGCTACTAATTCTGTCCTCATGCTTTGCATAATCTCTTGTGTCTAAGTGGTATGGCAGCAATTAGCTTATTACTTTTGGGAACTTCCTGAATAATGAGTAAGGTAACACAGTATCTGAAGGGATGAGTTACAACAGAAACTAATTTGACCCGTTTCGGGGGAATGGTGGAACTTTAATTTACTTAGGAAGTTAAGTGTTTGACCATTGGACTTCAATAGAAGATTTGTCATTAATATAATTTTTCAGATGTCTGTGAGCAGAGAATTCCAATGTGATCTTGCAGTTCCGGGAATCAAAGTGGTATTTAGGCACTCTTTGATCAAATGAGTCTGTGCATCTCCTGTGTTAGTTTACTGCTACTTCTGTCCCTTTAAGTGGGCACCTGTCAATGTCAGGAGCTTTGGCAGTGCTCCCCACAAAATATTGTGTATGTGTCTGACTTACTTTGGAAAACTCAGGAAAACCGTTGCAATTTAATTTATCCTTTGAATAAGCTAAATTTTAACTGGGTGAATGTTTTACATTTCAGATAGAAAACTAATCATTATTATGAAATGAATTTACTTTCTGGTTTAGTAGCTGTTATTTTTACAATGCTGTTCTACAATCAGCAGCAATTTAATCTCTGATTAACACACATACTGGCATCCATATAATTATTGTAACAAAGCAAATTGTTCTGAAGTCTTCATATTCGTGGGCTGATTGCACTGTCATTAAGCAAATTTCTGTTTTAATAGATGCTGATCATAGTCTTTCTTTAGGACTGAATTAATGTTTCCTTTTTTCTTTTAAGACACTGCAAATTTATAATATACAAAATACTGGATAACCTATAACAATGTGATTTTGCTTTTTCTCCCCAGGTATGAATGCTGCTGTGCGCGCAGTAGTACGCATGGGAATCTATGTAAAAGCCAAAGTGTATTTTGTCTATGAGGTTAGTTTTGTGTTTTATTCATTCTGTGTTTGTCTTCTGACTATACCTGAAGTTTTTGTGGAAACCTCATGGAGAGCGAATAGTATAAATTTAAAAATGTTGTAGATGTCATTCCCTTTCGTTATATCAACATTTTATGTCATACTTTTTATCTTTGTGGAGAATGTTTTACAGGGTATATTTAATTTTAAAGGAATTTTTTTAATATATGGAACTCTTCATGTGCCACCAGAAGCTTGAAAATACCGAGAAAACCAGAGGTGGCTGTCATCTAGCAGTGAGCTGTGTATTTGTGTACTTGTTAGGTATTTTGCCTCAAATATTGTACTTTATAAATACCTTCCTAAACCTAGTTAAACTACTAATTCTTAACCTTCTGACTTCCCCCAATCCATTTCCCTAGGGTATGATAAGGACATGCCATTGCCCTCATTTCACGGATTATACAACTTAGTTTTGATCAAGGGTACTGTCAGGCTGGTGCCATCTTTTCCTGCTTATAGGTGGAGAGTTGTGACTGAATAATACTCCAAACAACAAAGATCCCACCAAAAGTACTGTGCCATCAGTAGTGTGTCCGGACATCAGAATTTTTTTGGTTGAAGCTTATGACTGTGTGCATGAAGATTTGTTAACTTCCTTGGTACGAAAAACTGATGAGACAACTTCAGTGTAAATGTCAAAATAATACTGCATACATATGTCTTACTGGAAGACTAAGTTATAGTTAGATTTCTGCCTGAAGGAGACTTTCAGTTTTTATAAAATTTCTGTATTAAACAGTACAGTGAAAATGTTTAGCAAGAAGTCATTCGGTTCACACTGGAATTCCTGTACAACTCCTTAGAAGTTTGAGGTGATTATAAACCATAATAAGCATTTGATATGGGCCAAACTTGGTAGGCAGTATTCCTAGCAAAATGAAATTTCAATATTTAATATAAAATGTTGGAGTACTAGAATTCATAGAAGTGTTAGGGAAGGTACTCTGGATTTCGTTTTGTTCCTGCAAAATACACAATTTAGCTTTAAAAGGTGGCTATTCATCCATTTGCTTTCTGTGACTGCTTGTTCTTATAGTTCATTTACTAAAGAAATGCAAAGTGTATTGAAATGCAAATAAGCAGAGCACTGTGCTCTGAAATTCTTTTGTACTACGCTGCTAGAGCAAGTAGCTCTGAATACTTAGTGTGTGCTAATTACATGGCCAATCTCTAGAATTCCTTTGGTGTTCAGCTGTTCTGCGGGCTTGCTGAAATGGGTCGGATACTTTGTGGAAATAAGGAGAGGTTTTGCTTGCCTTTGAAGGCCAAAACTTGGATTTATTTTGGGTTTTTTATTTATGTTTAACTGAAGAATTACTATCTTTGTCATTCATCTAATAGTATGTTTACTTTTGTCAATCTTTAAAAACTTTCATATCACAGAGTGTATTTAATTACGAATTTCCAAAATTTGGAAATTTCAGTTAGTTTTCTGAATCTTGCAAGATTGCACTATTTAAGTGATTATATTCCTCTGTTAATTGCTAGCTTGTCAGTGTGAGCTCACAATATTTCTAAATTTGATTGTAAAAATCAAGTTAGTGTTGGAATTTTACTTTCCATTATATATTGTCGTTCTGTCTTCATTGTAACAGTGTAGTCTGGGAGAAGAATGCACATTTCACTGTTAATAGGAAGTCACTATGAAAGAGTTCTTTGCTTCTACATTAGTCCATTTGATTCTGTGTTTCAGGAAGTACTGAATGCTAAGCTTTTTTCCTCTCTAACTGTGTGTTAATTAAAATATAAAGGCAGTTTTCTTTCACAATGCATGTAAGTATTTCAGAGAAATACTCTTGCAAGCTTTGAAATGAAACAGCTATTTAATTTCAACACTTCAAAAAAGGAAGCAGGTGCAGGTCACAAGAGTAGTGGAAGGTAGAAATCTTAGGGCAAGACCTGTCACTCATAATCCCTCGTACAAGCCTTTGTATAATGTACACAGAGGAGGTGTATTTTGTTTATACTTGGAGTGATTTTACTTAATACTTTTAATAAGGTCCTTCTATATTACACTTTACCAAATGCAGGCCTCAGTGTGTAAAGCAAAGAAAATAGTGTATTTTTAGCCTACATTTTGAGTAGGCATTTTAACTAGGCGCACACACGTCAAGGTAAAGTGCTATTTGTATTGAAGCTGCTCTGAAAACATGAAGAAAAACCTGAAGTGGCAACATCCAAAAGGTGAAAAAAGTTTTCTTATTTGGAGTAAAAAATTAAATTCTCAGCCACTTCAAGCCTACTTTGCTATAGCTGTCATATGCTTTTTTTCCTCCTGTAACTTTCTCTGTGGTAAGAACTTCTTTTTACTGCAAAATCATCCATCTTCTACCGCTGTGGCCCAAACTACCTCCGTATTCTAAGTAAAGCAGTAAGTGTTTTCCTCTTTCTTAACTCCATTTTGTGATGAGAGACAGGTTACAAAGATTTTTTTTAAAAACTGGCAATGATCTAGATATAAGCAATTCTCTAACCTTTTAAAAGTTGCACTTATCAGAGCACAAAGAAACTGTTAGATACTGGAATTCATGGACTATTTGGACATACTTTGGTTTTTCTCAAAAGCAAAAATAACCCTTGTGAAAATTAATAATATAAAATAGTTTTTGTATGAACTAATTTATTGTATCTGTATTATTTCTATAGTTTCATCTTAAAACTATATAGCTGTAAATAATAAAAACCTCATATCTTATAATTCATTGAAACTAGCACAATTGAAAATTTGCTATTAATTTGTGGAAACAATGCTTACTCTATATAGTTAGCCCAATTTCATACTTTATCTGTGTTAACATCATTTAGTATTTAATTTTACTATATGAACAGTCTGTAACGACTCTTGCTGACCAGCATCACTTTATTCCACGAATCTACCCCAATCTGAATTAAAATTTGAATACCTGTGAACTTATTTTACTCATGCTGTAAAAGTCTAGGAGATGGAAGTATATGTGGAGTCTAGTTTAAATTTTTTCATTATTCAGAAGTGATTTAAATTGGTTTGGTTTTGGTTTGGATTTTTTATTTTAATAGAGAATGCAAAGAAAAAGTGATGCCTCTCATTTATGGCAATTAGTTTTAGAAACTGAGGTCTTAAATATTTATACAAATAACCTGCCCTTTTTCCAGGGTTGAAGCACATAGTTCCCAGTGGATGCATGCTCTTACTACTAAGCTGTGGAACTTTGAGGTTCTTCATCTTGACTAAGAGTCTTTTTCTCAGGAGGCTAGCATTGGAAATGCAATCGTACGGCAGTCGTGGTTTTCTGTGAGGAAAACTTCATGTCATTTGTGGTGATTTGTGTACTCAGTGATGCCAGTATTTTACGTTGTCGATCAGTAGCTAAAAAAGCTCAGTAAGTAAACTTAAACAACTGTTAAAGCCCCAAATACCTCACATGTGGCACATCAGAAGATGGATTGTTCTTTTTCAAAAGCCTTTGCTTTTAGAGTGAAGACTGGAAGCAAGCTCTGCTGTTTTTCCAGGAGTTGCATTGTATATGTACGTACCCTGTGAACATGCAGCTCACAAAGATGTCCTCTTGTTCATCTTTGAATATTCAGATTTTGTGTAAAGAATAATCATAAAATGGGGTTGATGCTCAAGTATAGTGCTTGCTGTATTTCTGACAATTTACTTTTTTCCATTTTTGCCCCATAGTTTTAGTATCTTAGTACCCAAGCTGCGATTTTTAGATTCTAAAGAAAGATTTTTTTTTTGTATAAATGTAAATTGACAGGTTCCCACCCTCTTTTTATTAAGGTCTGTATTAACATCTACCAGTAATTTTCAGTAGCCAGACAATTTTAAGTGTTGAACTATTTGATAAAATATTTCAAATTAAATTTAAAATGGATTGCCCAGTCCCCAAGTTAGCATCGCTGTTTAAATAACTAAAATGGTAAATGGAAATAACGATAATTATTAACACTTCAATTACAATTAGTCATCTTTTTTCCTTACAGCTTTTCTAGAAAGCTGTTTTAATTCTCTGGCTCTATCTCATAATGGTATGGAAGAACAGCATGGAAGCTCTAGCTGCATTGTTCAGGGCTAGCTTACATATACTATGTGGCAAGCAGAACTGAGTGAGAAGAAGCTATTATAACAGTTAAAATGGATCAGGCCTGTTCCAAAAGCTCCTTAGGGAGAGGAATTAATACAGCCCCTCTTCTCACTTCTCTACACAGAGAATTAAGACTGATGGGGACTCCTGACCAGAATGCATGAGTTCTTTCTACTTCCAAGAGGCATGGTGCAGGAGCCAGCCATAGCTCAGCTGTAGCCTAGCTGTAAGGGGTTTCAAACCATACAGACAGTTTCAAATAGTAGTTTATCCATCTGGTTTTCCCTGCGTTTTAGATTTGTTAATAAATTACAGATTGGGAATTTTCATCCATGAATGTCATACGTATGTAATTCTGTATCTGTTTACTGTATATAATACTTTCTTGGATGCACTTCCTTTATTTTTCCTCTAAGGTGAAAATGGAAGATAACTCATTAGAATGTATATATTTTTGTCAGCTTGTAGTGCCGCTGACTATTGTCAGTGTTACTGAGTTAGGATACAACAGCACACTATTTCTTCAGGAATTGTTGCCCATGAATCTTTGTGTTATTGTAGTTGCCAATAGGAACACCCGTTCAATCCATTACTGAGTGATACAAGGAACATCAGACCTTTTGCTTTAAAAAAAGACAAACCAATGATGGGTGAAGTTGCTAATTTATTATTATCAAGCTTAGTTGGATCCACTGGAAAATGTATTTGTGTGCTGATCTTGGCACTTTATCTGAAAGAGAGTTTTTAAATTCTGGTTGATGAAAAACTGAACATGAGCCGGCAGTGTGCACTGGCAGCCCAGAAAGCCAACCGTATCCTGGGCTGTATCCAGAGAAGTGTGGCCAGCAGGTCGAGAGAGGGGATTCTGCCCCTCTACTCTGCTCTTGTGAGACCCCACCTGGAGTGCTGCGTCCAGCTGTGGAGCCCTCAATATCAGAAGGATATTGCCCACTGGAGCGAGTCCAGAGGAGGCCGCGAAGATGATCAGAGGGCTGGAGCACCTCGCCTATGACGAAAGGCTGCGAGAACTGGGCTTGTTCAGCCTGGAGAAGAGGAGGCTCCGAGGAGACCTCATTGCAGCGTTCCAGTATCTGAAGGGGGCCTACAAGGGTGCTGGGAGAGGACTTTTTACAAGAGCCGGTAGTGATAGGACAAGAGGTAATGGGTATAAATTGAAAGTGGGGAGGTTTAGATTAGATATCAGGAAGAAATTCTTCACAGAGAGGGTGGTGAGGCACTGGAACAGGTTGCCCAGAGAAGCTGTGGATGGCCCATCCCTGGCTGTCTTCAAGGCCAGCCTGGATATGGCTTTGAGCGACCTGGTCTAGTGCAAGGTGTCCCTGCCCGTGGCAGGGGGGTTGGGACTAGATGATCTTTAAGGTCCCTTCCAACCCTAACCATTCTATGATTCTATGAAATTCTTTAAGTTGATACGTAGATTACGCATAATTTCTTTTCCACCTTGCTCTGATTTAGAAGGAATTGTGCAAACAATGTCTTAGCTTCCAGTCATTATGTGTACACATTAGTATACAAGTCTGTGTATGCATTAGATACTTATCAGTTATCTGGAGAATGTATGACATTGAAAAGATCTGTTGAATGACAGAAATTAGACATAGGTTGCTTTCCATCTCGCTGTTTCTGTGTTATTACTTGATCATCTTACATGTAAATTAATTAGTCAAGTCTTACTGAGCAGAAACGTTTACATTTTCCCCATGGAATCTGTACTGGAATCTTAGAAAGCTTAATTGGAGTAACTCATACTCTTGCTGAGTTCAGGTTATCTTTGTTTTTACTCTCTCGTGTTAGGGACTGCAAGTATGATATGGTATTCATATGACTTTTGTGGGGTTTTGTGGGTTTTTTTCTTTAATCTAAGCATGGTTCTTTTCGTTTTGGATTTAAATAAATATCAAAAAGCTGAATGCTAACTCCAGTTTTATTCTGATGTCTGTATCAGTTAAGTTTTCCTAGGTTAGAACTGTGTTCTATTCTATTCTTTTGTTTGGTTGATTTTTTTTTTAATAATTAGTGTTCACAACATCACCTAATGGAAGAGAACCTGTAATTGTCTCTCTTTCTGCCGATATTTATGCAGAGAGTTAATGAAGGCAGGCATAATGAACCCCTTTAGCTGCTCACTGAATAGTTTTCCTTTTTTCAGTTAAGTGTAATTCTTGCTGTATTACAGTATGCATTGGTGTCTGAAGACCATTTGAGGTAAGGTATTGAGGATTTGAGGATTTCTTAAATGCATCACTAAAAATTGTATTTTTCTACTAAATTTCTTTCATCTATTCATTCTGTAACTGCTTCCACAACTGCTTCCACAAAAAGAATAAGGATTATGTGACTGGATTTCTTCTTCATTAATGCAACATTTTTGGTGGTTGCTCTTTATTTTGTTTTGCTCATACCTACCTTGGATGAGAAAGTGTACAAAGTGTTACAAAGGTAGACCTTTTTCTACGATCACAACCTCAGGTTGAGCTTATGGTTTCTAGGATGCACATTTTAGAATTCTTTTCAGTTCTTCTGGTTTTGTATATTTCAAAAATAACTAAATATTTATCATGAGAAAGGAGAAAGAAACTGCCATTTTAGTTTATAAGATGTGTAAGCTGTGTAAAGTATTACCTTGAAGTTGTCTTTGGAACCAATCTTTTAGGAAGAGGGCTTGTTTGGCTTTTTTCCCTGCTTGAATATTGGTTTATTTAAATTGATTAATATTTTTATTCAGTGTTTTTAGTTGCATTAAGATATACAAAGTGAGTATTATGGCAGTAGAAATATTACACAGTACTTCAAATCAGACTTCTGAAATATTTTCTGTCTTTCAGGGTTACCAGGGCATGGTTGATGGAGGTGATAATATTGTAGAAGTTTCATGGGAAAGTGTTTCAAGTATCCTGCAAGTGGTAAGTGTGAGGGGGGGTGTGTGTGTGTGTGAAACCCTCTCGCTTTTAACATGGAACCAGAATTCTAGATCCAGGTAAACAACCATACTTACAGATTTGAATTCTGTGGTGACTGAGCGACCAGCACGTACCACTTCTGGCAGAGCCTGCTTTCTACACTATGGATGTTTGACACTTCCTGAAGCTCCCTGTGTGGTTTTGTATTTGGTGGACAGAAAGAGTCTTGAAAACCTTTGTCCTAGATTTCCAACATTACATGTCATTACCCTCATAAAGCCATATTGACAAGCCTGTATTTAATAAAAAAGACATTACAGGACCAAAATATGAAACAACTGCGTCTTGTAATGTCAGTGTTTTCTTATGAAACCTTGTTGGCTTCCTGTGTAAGTGGATTTAGTATTATATTACTGTGTGTAATTACACTACAGTTCTCCAGAACACTCATAATACCAGTGCCTCTGTACGTTTATATTACAACGTTCTGCAGGGTGGCCATTTGTCTCTCTCTCACTTTTCCTCCGCATGGTAATGTTGTTACCTCTTCCAGAGCAGATGCTATGTTTGGCGAAGAGGCCTTACTGCTTGCCAAGCTTTCTGAAAACTACCTCCAGGTGAAGCGTGGGATTTTTTTGAGCTTTCTGTAAAGCGAATATAAACATAAGGCAGTTAGCAGAGAGAATAAGAGATCTTAAAAAAAAAAAGAACCAAACAAATACACTGGAATACTGTGAGATATTTTGTCCATGTATGTTTAGGTTTTTGCTGTTTAGTGTGTTTTGTGAGTTTTGTGTGGGTTTTTTTTTAATCCCCTGACTGTCTTGTAGAATCTATACTCAGAGAGTCATAGAGTATCACAAGTTGGAAGGGACTCATAAGGATCATCGCGTCCAACTCCCTGCTCCTAGTAGGGCTACCTAAAAACGAAACCATGTGACTAAGAGCATCATTTAGACACGTTTTAGGATTAAGAGGAAATTGAGATGTCATGGCCAGTCCACCTGAGATAATAGGCAGTAACAGGATGTTGGCGGCCTGTCCATGTATATAGCATACATACTAGAAGAAAAACACCTTTCTGAGACTGATTGCTAGGCATTCAACAGAGCATCGTTGTCACTGAGGATGCATCTTAATGAATGTGTTCAGTTGCTTTGCTAAAAGATTTTTTTTCCTTAGCCCAACCTATTTTTCCGTTTAATCAGAACAAACAATACATCGATTCAAATACATAGTCCCTTTTCCATTTCAGCTATGTTTAAGTTGAAAATACCTAGTTTAGATACTGATTGTTATTGTTAGAAAATCTCCACATGAGAAGTATTTCTGTGGTTTTGTCTGTGAAGAAAGCTGAACTACATCTACTCCACCTTTTTTTTTTTTTCTTCTTTCTGCTACAACACTAGCAGCTGTTGCATGTTGCAACATAGATGATAAAATACTGCCTGGGACTGGCTTGAGAGCTGAAACACCTATTGATAGGGCAGTTTTATCAGTATAGCCTCTACAGAATTGAAGCTCGAATTTATCGAAAGTTAATGAAGGAAATATTTGTACAAAAGTGAGGTAATCATGTCCACATCTGTTTGTGGGGTGGGGGGGGAAGTCTTGATTAATTTTACTTTTTACTGTGACAATAAATAAGGCAAAATTTAGACTTTCCTTGAGGGACTGAACAATGTAAACACAAAAGATACATAAATAATGTGTTTTCAGCAAGATGCCCAGCAATTTTCAGTGACAAGGGTGTTTCAGTCTTTTTGGAAATAATTACTTCCATTTTTGAGCAAGCTCTTTAAATCATATAAATAAATACAGCAGATAATAAATTCAACATTATTCTGATCTACAAGGCACTAAATGTGGATGTAGTTCTTTCTGTAATTCTGTAGGATGTGAATAAAGCTAATTTTGAGCTTTAGGGTTACATCTTTATAGATTTCATAGTAGTGGGGGCAAAATGTCATGCTTTGAAGCAAATTCATCTCAATTCTTTACTTAGTATCATACCACTTTTATTATTGTCATCACACATAAGTAATAATTATATAATTAATTGGAATTCTACTGAAATTAATCCCAAATGATTTAACGTTTTTCTTCAAGAGTAGCTCTATCAGTAATTTTTGAGTGTTTTTTGTCATCTTCCCTGGTGTGTATATGCTTTTGAGGCCATAATTTCCTGCAGGTTTGATAATTCTTTGTTTCTCATTACTTTTTATTCACTGTAAAATTAAAGATGGAGGTTACACTATGAAACGACCATTCATTATTAATCCACCCTCAGGAAATGCAGAAAAAATCAGATTATAAATTAAAACTGTTATACTTCCTTTTCCTAGGGTGGTACAGTTATTGGTAGTGCACGCTGCAAATCCTTTCGTACCCGGGAGGGTCGCCTGCAGGCAGCCTACAACTTGGTTCAAAGAGGAATCACTAATCTGTGTGTGATTGGTGGAGATGGTAGTTTAACTGGTGCCAATCTGTTTCGTGAAGAATGGAGTGGACTTCTAGAAGAACTGGCACAGAAAGGTAAGTTTGTGTTCACAACCTCTAGTCCAGTCACCGGGAAAGTTATGTACCTTAACTATTCATACACAAACTGTAACCAGAGGATATTTCTTAAGTTCAGAAATCAGATGCATACATTCTAGGAAATTATGTGGTTCTTCATGAAGTAATAGTTTTTTAGTTCTGTACATCCTTTCTTCTGTACCATAAAGGTTCAGAAAGTCCAAATAAATTACTGTGCAACTGTCTGTGTGGCTTTTTTCTCCGTTATGAGTCGTTTTCAGGGCCTGAACTTTCAGCCTTATGCCTGAAAAGCCCTTTGCCTTCAAATCCGAACTAAGATAGTAATTCCTTTCCTACAACAGCCTACGCACTTGGTTGTTGTTAAATTATGGTGCTTTTCTGCCTTTATATGTTGAAGATCAGAACATTGTTACTGGTTCTGAAAGTGAATCTAGCCCAGTAGTTGTCACTGATAGCATCCAGGAGATGTGTGGGAAAGAACAAAATAGCAGATCAAGACTGAATAATGCTGTGTTGATGCTGTATGTTGTTCATACTGTATCAATACTCTGATAGGTGCTATCCATTTCTGTCTTCCGGACTTCCTGGCCCAGTTGCTGTTAGCAGTCCTTAAGGAATTTCTCTTCCATGAATGTATACGGTCTGCCTGAACGCATACAGGCTTTTGCTGAAAACCTTGTATAGGAAGGAGTTCTACAGCTTCACTGAATGGTGAAGATTGTGAAGAATCTTATGTTTATATAGATCCTGCTGGCTTCTAGTTTCATTTTATGTCCTATAATTTTTGTGTTCGAACAAACAGTGAATGATCAGTCCTACTTCTCTGCATGCCACTTGAGATTTTACAGCTGACTTACTTTCCCTTCATCATCTCTTTTTCTAGATGGAAGAATCCTAGTTTGCTTAGTTGTTCCTTATATGTAAGTTCTATACCTTTGATCATCTTTGTTGCCCTTCTCTGAACCTTTTCCAGTTCTACCATGTCCTTTTTGAGGTGGGGAGGACCACAACTGCACCCCGTACTCAAGATGAGGGCAAACCATGGATCAACACAGTAGTATAATGATCTTTGCTTTGTTCTCTATTTTCCTAATATCTTCTAATATTTTGATTTTTTGACTGCTGTTGAGCATTGAAGCTGATTTATTAATGAAAACAACATTATTATATTATTATGCTGAAAATAGCATCATTTCGTTTTGTGAGGTTAGGGTATATTTTTCATGTGTATTTTATACTTACCTACAACAAATTCCATCTGCTTACTATGTCCTGCTAAGCCTTCATTTCTTCTCAGACACCCCACACCTTTAGAACCCAAATAATTCAGTTTGATCAATAAATTTTGGCATCTTACTGCTCATTCCCTTTTCTAGGTTATTGCTGAGTATGTTGAATAGTGCAAATCCCGGTCGAACTCCACTGGTTACCTTCCTCAGATAAAAGAACTTGCATTTACTACTGCCCTCTCTGTTTTACTTTTTTACCCTCTGTTTCACATTACTTTGTGCAAAAGCCTTCTCTCTTATGCTGTGGTTACTTGGTTTCCTCAAAGACCTTTGGGGACAGACCATGTCAATGGCTTTTTGGAAATCTAAGTAGAATATGTCAACGAGATATCCATTATTCATGTGATGATTAAGTCACCTTTGGAACTCCAGAAGAGGTTTGTAGTGCGTGGTATACGTTCATAGAAAACGTTTTGACTTCTTCAGAATGCTGTATTTATCTTTATGGACATTAGTTATATTTTTCATTATGGTTTCTACTATTTTCTCTAGTACAGACATAAAACACACTGATACGTAGATCTTGAATCTTATATTAAAAATTTGCTATTATATTTACTGCCATCCAATCCACAGATACTAAGGTAGTTTCAGGCACTTAAGCAGCCAAGGTATTTTATCCTTGAGATCCTTTAGAACTCTTGAATGATTTAGCATTTTCACTGATGTCTTGGGAGGCACAGACTGAAACTTAGAATAGGAGCTTTTGTATTCTATTTGCTTTATTAATCATGAAATCAGAGCCTTTCAGTGTTGCAGAAGAGAAGACTTCTCATGTTTAATGATGGTTTTGGATTGTTTTATACATATATATGCCCATAATCGCATCCCTTCACTGCACATCATACACTGAGACTACAATTTGACTGCTACTGTTATAGTCCAAACCTTCAATTTTAAGGTTGCTTGCAAAACTTGGTAATCTGTTGATACTTTGAAATTAACTGAAAAGCTCTTGTTTCTTTCCTTACTGTAGGGAGTTCCATGTAGGATTCTTTGGTTTGGTTGTTTGATTGGCTTTTGTTTGTAGTTTTCACTAACCTTGTTAGCTAAAATATCTAAACACAACTCAGTATTTGGATATGTTTAACTTACAAAATAGAGCACCCAAGCGTATGTTTAAAACGTTTCAAAAAAACTTACCGCTGTTTCTCTGGGTACTTTTAATAGGAAAGATCGATGAAGAGGCCGTTAAGAAATACGCTTACCTTAACATTGTGGGAATGGTTGGATCCATAGACAATGACTTCTGTGGCACTGACATGACCATAGGTACTGACTCAGCCTTGCATAGAATCATTGAGGTTGTGGATGCCATCATGACCACTGCTCAAAGGTAAATTGTGCATATTACAGAAAACTGTAACAAATATACTGTTGTTTATGCCTTGAATATTCAAGTTTCCTATTGCCATACTACAGTGGAGGATATAAATTAATTTTAAATAGAAGTTAGATAACTGGTATTTATGGTATTTCTAGAGGGGGAGTAAAAGCTCTTTTTGGCTGCGTCTTTCAAGTGTCTTTCATTTTGTTTCTTAGTAATGGCTTTTTGGTGCTGGTGTTGGTGGGGACTGAGTTGTTTTTCTTCAGTGGCTAGTATGATGCTATGTGTTGGTTTAGCATGGAGAAGAGTGTTGATAGTGCTGGTGTTTTTAGTTGTTGATACAGAGTTCGTGCAGAGTCAAGGACTCTTTCAGTTTCTGATGCTGAGCATGTGTTCCCAGCTTCTTTGCTACAAGATGCTGGGAGGGGACACGGTGAGGACAGCTGACCCAGACTGGCCAAAGGGAGTATTTCATTCCATGAAAACATCATGCACAGTGTATGGGTTGGGAGTTGGGCCAGGGGAGGACCCTCTCGGTTAGTTGGCGGGTGGTGAGCGGTCCTACCATATGTTTTCTTTTCCATTATTTTCATTACATATTATTGTTTTATGTAATTTTCAGTTATTAAATTGTTCTTATGTCAACACATGAGATTGTCTGTGACGCCGATTCTCTTCCTCCACTGGAGGTGGGGCGGGGGGAGGTTTGCAAGCAGCTGTGTGGTACTTAGCTGCTGGCTGGGATTAAACCACGATACTTTTCTATCATTCCTGTCATGGCAGCACTTCAGACATCTGATTGTAGGGGCTGCATCAGCTTTAGGGACAGGCTTTGGTTTTTTTGATGTTTATGGTCTTCTCCCAGTCATACTCTTCTGCAGAAGACCCAGATATAACTTGGATAGTACACAGTAGCATCTGTTTGTATACAAGCTTTCTCTAGGTAAAATTTAAGCAATTAAATTACTTCTTAAAATTCAACTATGTCATTGCAGTTCTTAACTATAGGTCTGCATCATCTACATTTCTAGTAAATATTCACCTTTCTCCTAACTGCCCTTATGTGTTTTAGAAGAAAGTAGTAGTGAGAACAGATTATACATTGGAAGATACATAATTTTAAATATGTCGTTTAATGTGGTCGGTCTTCTGATTTGGTAACGAATTCTTTGTTGGGTAAGCGTGGTAAGCACAGGCTGTTTCCTGATACCAGGTTCAGATTTCAAGAATTTGGACTGGATTTTGGAGTTGCAGTCTTACAGTTAATTTGTGTTCTTATTTTTACAGCCACCAGAGGACATTTGTTCTGGAGGTTATGGGGAGACACTGTGGGTATGTATTGTCTTCAGCAGTTTGTGTCTCATACAGATACAATTATGAAAGATCAAGATATCTGAAACCTAAATGTCTAATCATTTGTTATGTTTATTTAGGTATCTAGCTCTTGTTAGTGCCTTAGCCTGTGGTGCAGATTGGGTATTTATTCCTGAATACCCACCAGAAGAAGGATGGGAGGATTCAATGTGTGTTAAGCTTTCAGAGGTAATCTATTACTATGGGATTTCCTGATGTCTTTGCAGATGTCTGTTTGAAAACAGTGATTTAAAAATGTGATTAAAATTTTCAGCAAGTCTTTGCGTCTGGTGTCACAGATACTACTTTGATCTTAAGCAATTCTCTTCCTGTATTCTGTAATTGTTTTGAAGAATTGTATGACCTACTCTAGGTATTATATAAAACTATTCCTGTATAAGCAGTGTGTGTACCTTTCCTCATTGAATTGATATAAGGCATTTCACTTAATCAATGAAAAGACCTATATAAAGACACAATGTGTGAGTGATCCAGTATAAAAAATATTTCCTTAAATCCTACCAGTTTAATGTATAGCAGTTGATTATGAAGTGGTGCTGTACATTTCTTTCAGTTTTTTATTATATAGATGTGCTCTTATTTTTGTTATAGAACCGTGCACGAAAGAAAAGGCTGAATATTATTATTGTAGCTGAGGGAGCTATTGATTGCCACAACAAACCTATAACGTCAGAGAAGGTTAAGGATGTAAGTGTCAAGAATCCTCATTGTGCACTTTCTGTTCTTGATGGGGCTTTTTACTAACTAACATTTCTGTAAAGTAAATCTGTTCCTGTAAAGTAGCTTATCACACAGTTTAGTTGTATTTTATATTTGTGCTTTGTTATCTGAATCCATAATCCACTTAAGAGTGAATTATTTCAGTGGATGTTAAGTAGAACCTTTTCTCAGTGTAAAATAAGACAACAGTCCACAACACCTACTTCATGGGTGCCTTAATTGATAGGGAGTCTGAAGTCAGTTCAAATCAGTAATTATAATCCTACTTTATATTTCTTTCAGAATGTTAATAATGGTCTATCTCATAGTAAAATATACTGTCTGATTCGCCAAGAATTTCTTTGGTGTCTAAAAGCTATTGAGCTGAAATTTACTCTGATTTTTCTTGGAAAGGGTCCCTTAAGAAAAGAATTTGAAAAATAATCATTGACAGGAAGGAGCTGTGACACTTTGACTTCACCTGGGGTTTATCTGTCCTGTCACTGGGAAGTTTTGTTTCCCATAGCTGTTGGTTTGAGAGTAATCTTTGACTCCTACTTAGTAAACCTGCAACTCTGAATCCAAATTTAGCACCAAGTGGTGTTAAGCCCACATACAGCAGATAGCTCTTATGCATTTATGGAAGAAACATTACTTGCTTGCTGCAAATTTCAGCCAGTAAAACATTTAAAAAACCCATAAATACTAGGAACAGAAGATTTTGTAAATAACTTCTACATTTTTTTTCTGCTTTATGGTATCCATTTCTTATTCTCCTAGCCTTCCATGCTCACTGAAGATGTATTAATAAACATGTTTTTCTGTGACTTGAGGTTTGGTATGTAACAGAAAATGGAAAGAAAGTCTGACTGAATTAAATAGTTTTATTATAATTTTTATTGCAAGTTTTAAAAGCCTTGTCAATTAAGGTTAAAAGTAATTTTCACTAAAGTTTTACTCAGAATCTTTTGGGTTGTGTAATCTTGCGTATAGATGAAACATGGAGTGAATAAAATTCCATGTAATTGAACTCCTTTCAAGTATTCTAATTATAGTGCTTAGACCAGTTTTTGAGGACTTTGTGTAATGAAGCCATTATTACATACATCTGCAGTTAAAGCATTGCGATCTAAGCCACTGGTTTGACATTATTAAATAAAATGCTCCTTTAGATTAGGAACCTGGAATTTTGTTCTAGGTTAGGAATAAACTGAAGACTGGCTTTACTTTTTTAGTATTGTCATTACTGTAATCCAAATGTATAGTGTATGTAAAATCTTATTCTGATAACACATAAAGCAGAGTAATCCCAGTGTGTGTGTAAACTAATGATGATAACTAACTATATTTTGAAATTCTGTGCAGCTTGTGGTTCAGCGACTTGGTTTTGACACCCGAGTAACTATCTTGGGTCATGTGCAAAGAGGTGGAACCCCTTCGGCTTTTGACAGAATTTTGGTGAGTGAAACAAAAATAATTGCTTACGGTACCACATGGTACAACTACCTTTTGATTGTATATTTGGGGGTGGGATAGTTCTTTACCTAAGGAACTTGACAAATTATTGTGTCTCAAATTAACTGTCTGAATAGCTCGAAATCAGAATAGTGCAAAGGTGCAAGAACAATCTTCCATACTTAAGGGTATTAAACAGCCTGCACCATTTTCACCTATCAAGCAATAATTTGTTTCAGCTTCATTTACAGAGAAATCATGAGCATTTGTGTCTGGAAGCCTTTTACTTTTCACTGCTTGCTTGAACACTCAAATATTATCTATTTTCAGGCAAGTCGTATGGGTGTGGAAGCTGTGCTTGCCCTTCTAGAAGCTACTCCAGCTACTCCTGCGTGTGTTGTGTCCTTGTCTGGAAACCAGGCTGTCCGTCTGCCTTTGATGGAATGTGTGCAGATGGTGAGTTTCTGGCAAAAGGCCAATTTATAGTCACTTATTAATAAAATAGACCATTGTGTACAATTATACTGTCTTATTAAAACACTGATGGGAATTTGCCCAGCAATTTCCCACATATGGGAATAAAGAACTTCATGTGTTTTCTGTGTTTTTACTTCCTTGCAAACTACCAACAAACAATACGTATATATATTTAAATTTATTTTAAAAGTTCATGTCAGGTTTTTTTTATTTTCACAACAAAGTTTTCAGATGCTTGCGTCCATTTACACATCATACGCAACAGTTGGCTTTCTGCACTAAAAACTGTTCAGCTTAAACTGAAAAGAGAAAATGCAAAAAAAGGTGCAGCGATTTCCGCCTCTCCCCACCCCCCAGCCGCAGGATAGCCTTAGGTGTCTGCTTCTACTTTTGTTTTGGATGTCCACTGTAATTTGTGCTGTGATAAGCAGCTCATAAATCAATGAAGTGTCAGTATTACTTTTTTCGCTTTGGAAAGTTTTTTCAGAATGATATATTGGAACACATTAAATAAGTAACTTCCTGTGGTAGTTTTAAACATATTGAGTAATCAACTTGGTTTTTTTTCAAGACTCAAGAAGTCCAGAAAGCCATGGACGAGGGAAGATTTCTTGAGGCTGTGAGGCTGCGTGGAAGGTATGGCCAAAAACTTTCATCAGTTTATTTGCTCTAGAAAAACTTAATTGCTTTGCTGTTCCATTGGCACTTGATGTTTTATTTTAAATAATTTAAATTCATGTGGTTTTATGTACTTGAAAATAATAAAGGACACAGAAGAGTTGCCTAAATAGAATAATTGAAATTATCTGCATGAAAACATGCAGAACAAAGAAAACTGACAATGGTATCAGGCTAGTGACTAGGATAAGTACTGATGAAGGGCTGCTGTACTGTATGAGCTGACTAGTAGCAACCGTATGTTTGTCTGCTCAAGATCTTGAGGCCAGTGCTCTGAGCTTGTTTGTAAGTAAAGTAGCTTGTACTTTTCCAACAGTACAGTTGGAAGGAGACATTCTGCACTATATTATGTGTCAACAGAGAATTTGCAGTTTCAAGTTACGTGATAATAAAAAGCTTTATCACCAAGCTATAAAACTCACTTGCCAGCCATACAGTTATATTTTCTCCCTATTATCTTACAGGATTGAGTATTTTCCAGTGTTCTCTCATTTCCAGTTTTTAACATGTTTTGCATTTGTAATAACTTCAGTGCTAATATTACATACCTGGTTTTAAAAGTTACTGAAAAATTCAAGAGTTTCTTAATAGAATCACAGAATCTTTTAGGTTGGAAAAGACCTTTAAGATCAAGTCCAGCTGTTAACGTAACACCGCTAATGCCACCACTAAACCATGTCCCTAAGCAGCCTGTCTGTATGTCTCTTAAATACCTCCAGGGATGGTGACTACCACTTCCCTAAGCAGCACGTTCCAATGACTGACAACCCTTTCAGTGAAGAAATTTGTCCTCATACTCAGTCTGAATCTCTCCTGGTGCAACTTGAGGCCATTTCCTCTCGTTCTATTGCTTCTCACTTGTGGAGAAGTGGCCAAAACCCACCTCCCTGCAACCTCCTTTCAGGTAGTTGTAGAAAGCTGCAAGATCTCCCCTAAGCATCCTCTTCTGCAGGCTAAGCAACCTCAGTTCCCTCACAGGACTTGTGCTCCAGACCCTTCCCCAGCTCCATTCCCCTTCTCTGGACATGCTCCAGCACCTCAGTGTCTGTTTTGTAGTGAGGGGCCCAAAACTGAACACAGTATTTGAGGTGTGGCCTCACCAGTGCTGAGTACAGGGGGACGATCCCTTCCCTAGTCCTGCTGGTCACACTGTTCCTGATGCAGGCCAGGATGCCGTCGGCCTTCTTGGCCACCTGAGCACAGTGCTAGCTCCTGTTCAGCTGGCTGTTGACCAACAGCCCCAGGTCCTTTTCCACTGGGCAGCTTTCCAGCCACTCGTCCCCAAGCCTGTAACATTGTTGTGACCCAAGTGCAGGACCAGGCACTCGGCCTTGCTGAACCTGATAGAGCTGGCCTCCGCCCATCAGTCCAGCCTGTCCAGGTCCCTCTCCAGAGCCTTCCTACCCTCAGGCAGATCAGCACTCACATTCAACTATCTGCGGACTTACTGAGGGTGCACTCAATCCCCTCATTATGATCGTTAATAAAGAGATTAAACAGAACTGAGCCCTGGGGAACACCAGTTGTGACTGGCCACCAACTGGATTTAACACCATTCACCACAGTTCTTTGGGCCTGGCTGTCCAGCCATTTATTTTTTTTTTTTTTTTTTCCCCAGCGAAGAGTATACCCATCCAAGCCCTGAGCAGCCAGTTTCTCCAGGAGAATGCTGTGGGAAATGGTGTCAGAGGCTTTTTCTAAAAGTCTGGGCAGACAACATTCACTGCCTTTCTCTTGTCCTCTAAGGAGGTGGACTAGGAGTTGAAGTTTACTGTTTATTTAATCTTAGCTTATTTACTTACCTTATTTACTTATTTAGGAGCTTTGAAAACAACCTTAACACCTACAAATTACTGTCGCACAAAAAGTCAGATGCTGAGCTTCCAAAGGTAAGGGTTTTTTTTTTGGAGTGTATGTCTGCTTTTGGGCTATCACAAGCAGTGATTTTCCTCTTCTTTCCCCATCATCCTGCCTTAATACCCTCTTGAAACCCATGCCACAGGATATTTTACAGAATTAGTTCAATATTTTAATGGCAGAAAAATGCTTGAAACACACAGCTTACTATAATGATAACTTTTATCTTTGTGAAGTGATATAGCATCTAACCAGTGAACTTACTGTTGGACAGTTTCTTTCTGTCTTGGATATGTCTGGTCCCAGTTGCTATTGTGTCTGGTCCTGGTAGTTACCGTTACGCCCTCTGCTTCTTAACATGGAGAGAAGGAGAGGTGATGTAATCACAATTGAGTCTAAATCTCGAGATAAGGAAGGTTAATTATGAAAGAATCCTAACCCTTCCTTTTGAAGGGCAAAACCACTCAAGAACAGCAGTAAGTCCAGGAATTCATGGGATGGAATAGTGAAGACAGATGCATCATGTTTAGTGAGTCCAGTAGGTCACCATGCATAAGACAGCAGTCGACATGTAGTTCTTTTCCTTATAGTTTAAGTTGCATTCAGGAAGAAATTTGGATTTATTAGGAAGTTGACACTAAATGTTTTGTGTAAACAAGTCTCAGACAGGACTACTTTGTTCTTATTACTAAATAATTTTGGATTTGACCACAGTTGATGACTATGGCACCTCATTGGTTAATTCCTTTTTAATTGTGGTTTGTGTCAATTCAATGCCTTATTTGCATAATGTTACTGTTATGTTTTTTGAATTCTTTTTATTCCGATTAAGTATTTGAGAAATGGTTCACAATATCTTCACAATATTATTAAGGAGAAGAATTGCACTGAAAATAGGAAAAGTTCATTTGAATAGCTGATACTAGTTTGGAAGTTATACAGATAGCAAGTAACATCCAGCTAGCCATTTTAGTTGGCAGTATTGCTGTGTAAGATGTCATGGAGAACGTCACACGGTAAAGGAAACTTGGTTACAAATCATAACCATCATAACCAAAAGTCATCGCAGAAGCTTTCAAGGATATTACAATTAAATAACTCTGGTTTAAATTACTGTCTTACTCTTGCTAAACGTAAGTAAAAGTAAGCATGTAGACCAAAGTTATTTGAAATACATCTGCCACAATGTTTGGGTTTTTTTTGGGGGGGGGGTGGTGGTGGTATTCTTTTGGGTTTTTTTCCAAAAGACAAGTATCTAAGTTTGACCTTCAAGACATCAAAGATGTTGGGGTTTTTTTGGGGTGGTGCATATTGAACATTAGCTTTTCCAGATCAGGGATGTGTGTGGTATTGGGGTGGTTATTTCTTTGTTGTTTTGGTTTTTTTATTTTGCTTAGTTTTGCGTTTTTTTGTATATACATACCAGTGCAGATTTAGAACTTTCAACATTGGGCTTTTGTATTTTGTTTTAATGTAGTTTTGCTGATCTTTTTGTGATGGATGACATTAGAAGGAAATGTAGGTCAGTTGTCATTATTAACTACTTGGATTTGGCCACACTAGCCGAATCTGTGCTTCAGTAAAAGGGGTTGGATGGGTATTAAGAAGCAGATGAAATGTGCATGTCATGGGAATTGAGGAGAAGGCTAAGCTGATCAGATCACGAGAGCCTACTGAATGCTCTGCTTCAGCAGTGCTGGTGCACACAGATATTTTGCTGCTTCTGTTTCCTTTTGCTTTTTTCTACCATCCTTGGATTGTGCCAGAGCTAAAAGAGAAACCACATACATTCTGTTTTGGGTCTTTCTTGGATGATTTTCTTTTTAACTGATTGGAAGAAATTCTCTGATTATTACTTTTCTGTTTTGTTTTTTTTTTTTTTTAATTTCCCTCTCAGAGGATAAAGCTAAAACCTTCTTCGGCTGTACCAAGTTGTTACAGTTTTGTCAGTCGTTACGAACAAATTAAGGTCATTCAGCTGACCTAAAGCATGATGAATTCTGGTGTATAAGCTCAGGCTGTTAAGTTTTCTTACATTTTGCTTACATAGTCAGCTATAATTTAAATTGTTTGCTAAATTTGTGCAGAGGGTTTAAACTTTCCCAAAGGTCGGTCATGTAAAGATTTATTTACTTATAATTTGCTCTCAGTATTAATTTCAAAGCTGTAAAAATAAAATTAAATTGATTAATTGCAGTGCTTCATTTTTTTGTAATGGAATATATTTTTATCTGCTGTAAATCAACACTTATTGATGTCAGTGAAACCACTGATTTATGCTGGCTGACCATTTCTTAGTCTATGATTTATTTTCTTAATCTGTGATTTGTCTGGAAATAAGCCTTCCATTTCAAGGAATACTCTATGTACAGAATTTCTGCATTTTATGCTTGCAATTAAATCTTAATCTAAAGGTGTTTTCTGGCATTTTACACACAGTAGCACTCTTGCCTTGTTCACCCTTACAGTGTACATTTAGGAGTATTGTAGTAATTCCATCAAAGAAAGTATTCTTGATTTGAAAACTGTTGTGGTTTTAGAGTTGGGTCTGTTGTAACAAGACAGAAATTTTTAGTAGTGTTCTGTAGCTACCTAGTGGGATTTTTACCACTTCTGTTGTTTAGTCTGTAATGCTTACAGTTAGATGCAGTGGTTTTGTATGGAGTACAATTGATAATTAAGCAATATAAATGCAGAGGTATGGAATACACATTATATAGAAAAATATTATTTCATGTTATGTTTTATATAGAACCTACTCTCCTACATTGTCTGTGGTTTAAATTAGAAATGTGTATTTGATATCTAAGGCTTTCCATTAGAGTAAATTAGCTGCTTACCTGGGGCACTCATTAAAGTCAGGAGACACTGTATATAAGCACAGCTGCTTTGAGTTGTTAGGAAATGCTGTAAAAACTGCCATAATCTGAAAATCATCATCATAGAATGGTTAAAATGTTATCATACTGTGGAAGATACTGAGTGCTCCTGATTGCTACTATACTGTCAGCTGCTCTAAAAACCTGGCTGATACTTAAAATTTAAGTACTGTCTTATTTAAAAACAATCATTCTTTTTTCAAACTGTTTGTTGCTATGTGATATATTCAAATAGGGAAAGGTATCTTCTAGTGAACTTTAAATTTTGGATGCATTTAGGGGCTTTGATTACATTCCAATACTTAGCAACTGTGTGTGATGGACGAATTAACCATGGTGTAGAAATTGAGGTGCTTATTTCACATTATTTTTCTCTTGCAGACTAATTTTAATGTGGCAGTTCTAAATGTTGGTGCCCCTGCAGCTGGAATGAATGCTGCAGTGAGGGCTGCAGTGAGAGTTGGCATAACTGAAGGCCATAAAATGTTTGCTGTCATTGATGGATTTGAAGGTTTTGCTAGAGGGAAGGTCAGTATTATATGTGGTGATTACATAGTAGTATGTACCCCGTTGTGGTTAGGGTGTGTTCTTAGAAGGTATGTTCTGTCCTAACTCTGGTGGGAACTGATTCTGTAAGTTTTATTTCTTAAAGTTATATAAACCTCAAATTTCTCAACTATGCAAGTCTGTGGATCCATGAATCTTAAGTATTGCTAATCACATGCTGCAGAGCTATAAAATCAGTTTAGATTTATGTTTAGCATATGGTAGGTTTTTCACAGAATAACAGAAGAGTTGCTGGTCTGTGCATTTTGTTCCTGCATCTGTGTTCCTTTGCTGTAAGGAACTTTGCAGTGGTTCTTGTTCAGGAAAGATCATTTTTTGTTTTCCCCCGAGGTGAGTTAGACTCCTCTGTTCCCCTGTTTTTAAGTGTTAAGCATCAGTTGGTACACTGAGGAGAAACTGGATACAAGACAACATTTCTATGCCTAGGCCCATAGGCCCAAAAAATAACTTCAAAGACGTAGTTTTAGATTTTCATGTTTCACATTCAGTGGGAGAGAATATGAAAATAGGATCATGATGTGAAACAAGGAGGCAGGGTTCATCATGATCTGGAGGAAGAAAGAAGAAATGGAATAGAAAGGGATTGGTAAGAACTCAGGGGAAATTAAGTGGACCTCTTGATGCTGTTTTTATTTCTTTGCCAAGTCCTTTTTTGGTGCTCTCTGCCCTCCAGCGTGTTCCAACAGCTTTACATTAAGTCATACCTTGTGTATGCTGCATGTCAAGAGAAGTAGTTGGATAATTACTTAACAGAATCTCGTTTTCCACTTTTATTCAAAGATAAAGGAAATCAGCTGGGGAGATGTTGGAGGCTGGACTGGTCAAGGAGGATCAATTCTTGGTACAAAACGGTAATATCAGTATTTTGTCAATTGCTATGATGAATGCTAGGATTTTATATAACCAGTGTGTAATTCCATGCTCTCTTCCTTCCACAAAATATTCTAAGTACTGTGTTGTGCGGGTTTGTTTGGGGTTTTTTTTCAGTTCTTACATTCCAACTCGTGTATTTTGTAGTATTGTACCAGATTCGAAGAGAGAATGAAAATGGGAGTCGGGCCCTTAACTTAAAAATTTCCTGGGATCCTTACACTGAAAAGGATCGAAAACCTGTAGTTTCTTCACCGTTTGTGTGATTCGTTACTGGTTGTCAGGAAGAATTATTTGTATGGATAAATATGTAAAATGAAAAATATTGCATTGCCTGCTCAGTTTACTGTTTCAGCTTGATGCAGAGTCTGTAAATTTGTTTTTATTTTTCTCTTGGTTTAATAATTTTTAGTACTCTTCCTGCAAAGTATTTGGAGAAGATTGCTGACCAGATGCGCACTAACAACATTAACGCCCTTATGGTTATTGGTGGATTTGAGGTACACTGAAATATCTGATTATGTCTAAGTAGAGTAGAATTCCTAGTAAAAGGAATAGACCATTTTAATTTTTATCCAATCTTCATGTAAAGTGCATTTGTTTATAACTATATTTGATATACAGCTCAGTGTTTAGTATCAGAGGATTGCCAATCACTGATTCTGTGGAAAGTTGACATTCAAGACAGTGGGTAGTAACTAAAACAGGATGTGCTAAATGCATAAATAAGGTGAGATAGCATGACAGTATTTTTATATTTAAAAAAAAAAGTTAATGGTTTCAGTAGTGCAAGTTCCAGTCTATACTGTACCAATACTAAGAACATACTTTCAGAAGTTCTAGACCTTTAGTAATAATTGCACTGTGGTCCTGTCCTTAAGCCACTCTTTCTCACACATTGCATTTGAAAATCTGTAATTGATCTAGAGAAGTATTTTCTTTTTTTTTTTATTTCATTTTACCAAAATTATAGATTTTTTGAGATCTAGATTCAGGAAAGTATTTTGCCAGCTCTTCCCAGAGAAGAACATACTTACTTCTTCTTGATAAGGAATAAATCATCCTTTTTTTTTTGTTTTGTTTTCCCCTTCCCCCCCTCCCCCAACCTCTTAGGCATGATCCTAGTTCAGGAATATTAAGATTTTAAATGAGCAGTAACAGTACCTGAAGATTGGAGAACCATTTGCAGCATGTTTGTGTTGTTCAAAGTACTTAGTATGTCTAAATTATGTATTCCCTTGAAAATTAATGTTTCACTTACTGTTTGTTTTCAAATGTATACCTGGTTTTATTGCTTTCTTTTTTTGTATGTGTTAGATTTTTTAGGCTTAATGCTTTGACTTGAAGTGTGCTGTGGTAGAAATGGCTCCCCCTGTGGCCCTTTTATCGTTCCAACCTTGCCCTGGTTTCATTCATCCTGATTTTTTCCCCCAATGCCTGTGCCCAACAGGCGTACCTCGGACTTCTGGAATTGTCAGCTGCCCGAGAGAAATATGACGAATTCTGTGTTCCAATGGTTATGGTTCCTGCAACTGTATCCAACAATGTACCGGGTTCAGATTTCAGCATTGGTGCAGATACTGCTTTGAACACTATAACTGATGTAAGTCTATTCTGGTGTGTGCGCTTACTAACAAAGCAGTTCTGGTTAAAACTGACTAAATTGGCTAGAGCTGGATATTTTTATAGACCAGAACATTGGAAATGTGATCTGAAAGATGATACACTTACATGATACAGCCACATTCACGATACCCATTTAGAAAAAGAGAAGGTTTAGGATCCCAAATGCTTCCGTTAGGTTTCCTCTGAAACTAGAATGACCTTTCAATTTGTAAACTACAAAATAAGATGGCATATATCTATGTTATGTGGAAGAAAGAAACCTAAGCTAAGGCATATATTACATGTATTCTACTACTAACAGATTTAACAAAGAGTTGAGACCTATTATGAAGTGGCTTTTGAAAAATCAAATTCGGTAATACGATATAAATTAAAAATGGATCGATTAATACTAAACCCAGTTGGACAGAAAGCATTGTCAAACAGCATAAAAATTACATTGTCAGGCATGCACACTTTCAGTTCATCTGAATCCCTTAAAAAGCATTCGTCTATCACAGCTCTGCTGAGAAGAACAATTCTGTTTCTGTATGTTCTGACATGATTGTATCTGTGACGCAGTAGTGGTAACATTACACTTTCTTCTTTTCATCATAGTCTGTGGACACATCCATCTTGTAAATACAGTTGCAGTGTGTCCATAGTTTGAAAACACAGCAAAGACCTAATAAAGCATTTGTCTGCAATTGAATTTACTTTTTCACTTAAAAGGAAGAAACAGAATTATTTCATAACTTTGAGAAATACAATGGATTACCATATTATATTAAAAGTTCTGCACTCATTTTTGCCTCCAGCCATGTTGGAGCCAGAATGTAGATTTGTTATTTACTGATGGTACATTTTGAGCTTCATTTTAAAAACAAAAAAATAGTGAGTATAATGCTCATGAAAAGCAGGAAAAGCATCTCATGTTACTTTTGAAAATTAAATGTCAGTTCTTTTATCACTTGGATGTATTTCAAGATTTTAATCATTATGTTACAATCAGAAATTTGAAGGATTCATCAAGTGCCATCAATTTCAAAAGCCCTAATATAATTTTCACCTGGTTTCCTTTTGTTTTGGTTGTTTTTTTTTACCATGCTGATAAATACTTTTATCTTCCGCAAAATAAACCCTTCAGTTAGGAAATGTCAGTTTCCTTAACTGTTGCCTTGAACAAGACTGTGTGCTAAACAAGTTTTATCTTAAACACATCTTTACCAACAACTTAGGATATAAATGTTGATGATGTTTCCAGTTCTGGTAAATAAAAATATCTCTCCAAAATGATTGATCACTGATTAAGGTGAGTAAAATTATTGTGCATAACACCTACTTTTCTTCTTGTCTTTTCTGCATAAGCTTTGTTTACCTGACTTCTTTTGATAGGTTATTTCATGTAGCAGGGATACATATTGTAGTCTCCCTTCCCTTGTTACTGTGTTTTGCTTTATATTTAGGTTTCTAGGTATCATCCACCTTCATTAAATAATAAAATATCAGTATTTCTGTATTTTCAATGCCGTATTTAAACTTCTAAAATTGTATTTTTTTACTAATAGCTTTCATCTTGTTTTTGTATTTTGCCTAGATTTTTCTCTGAAATACTATGAAATGTAATGTCTTTACAAGATTTAGATGCGATCCAGTGGAGAATTAATTTTCATTCTTTTTTGGGAAGGAGCAGACTTTTGAGTTGGGAAACATTTTTGCTTGATATCTTTAATTTTCTTCTCTGATCGTTTGAGCATGATTCACTAAATCTTATAATGAAAAATACATCCTTTCATTCCTATGTCACTTGTTCAGATCAGCTTCAGTAGTGATGATAACCCCCTATTAAATGTGACTGATAGGCTCAGTACAAGTCATACAGTTGCCTGTGGAAAATGGAAACAGCAGATGGACATGAATGTCCATTTTATCTACTTATAGCATTTTTATTCCTGTTGCCACTATTAGGTCAACAAATGCTTCATAGTTTGCAAGATTACACTTCTCGGATTAGTGCCTCTTACAAACACCAAGAAGTCATTGTGTTTAGTTTTTCTGTGGTACTGCTCTTACTTCTATGTTCTTGACAGCTTTTAGTCAGGTAAGTACATTTCTGCCGGGTAATGAGGCTTTGTTAGTGTTTGGTATTACTGGACACTTGTCCGTGTTAGGTAGTTTGAAACTTGTCAAGGCATGTAAATAGTACCTTGATACATTTGCAGATAAAACGTGTTAAATGCTGCACTTAAAAAGAAAAACAATAAAAACCAGACCAACAGATATGTAACGTGACTGAGAGATTAGGCAAGAGTGTGCTTTTCCCTAAGTTGTAGGTAGTGGCTGGTACGTTTCTCATAAGTGCCATTTAAAGTCTATAACAGTTTCTATGACCCTCTTGAAATGTTCCATTTTTTTCATTTTTGTTTTAAAAATAAGCTTGAAATCAGTTGAATAGTAGGATTTGGTTTGTCTTTTGAATAGTGTTTTCTATTTATGATATACTCTATTTTTAATTTCAGTTTTCAGAATATTAGTGAGAAAATTGTCATTGAAAACTCCAATACAAAATAATTGGGGAAAGCTGGATGTTTCTGTACCTGAAAAGGTCATGCTTATGGCTTGTATACCTAGATACACAAAATAAACTGGTTAGAATTGCAGGATAAGAACATGAACTTTGAGCTTTTTGTGAAAGGAAGCATCAGTAAAATAACTCCTGTGATAAACATACCTATTTTCAACTGCATGTTGCTAATCCAATGAAATTAATAGAGTATTATTTCCGGTAGCAGACCTCTGGAATGTGACAACAGAGAAGTGTTAGATTTTTTCCTACATAATCATGAAGGATATAAATTTATTTTTTAAATGAAAGTTGTATTACTTGATCAAAAAGAGATGTTAGCAATACATTTTTCAGGTGGAAGTTAAAAGCATGAAGAGTGATTAAGCAAAATGAATACAAAGTTACTCTTAGCTGCAGACCATGTGAAGGGAGTAGAAAGGATGAAAATGTAATTAAAAAACAAAGCCTGTTGATGGGCTAGATGACAGTGATGGAAAGAGGAGTAAACCAGAACAAGGTATGGAAAAATACTCATTTGATTTAGGAGATGTAGAAGAAATAAAGCCTGAAAAAGGAAGAGGCTAAAATTTGCTTATGTTTCTTTGACAATCTGCTTTTTCCTTTCATCAAAATGAAGGGGGGTACAGGTTGATCAGTTGGTTTTGTGAGAAAAAGAATAGCAAACATCCACTGAGGAGTGCAGAAAGCTACAGTTAGATTTCCCTAACGCAGTCTCCATGCATTTCCCTGGAACAAGAGACTCCTGTACCCTCCCAGTGCTGGTACTGCATAGGTGGCTCTAGCTAACCAGAAAAGTCTTCATCCACTTCAGTCATGGCAACAGCTGGATGTGGAGCTAGGGCAGTAAAGCCATCCCTTACAAATTGCATTTAGATCAACATAACGTCCACAAACTTCAGCCTGGGCTTGACTGTATGTATGATTATAAAGCATCCTGGGTGGTCAATACCCTTTTTAATAATACAAATACAATAAAAGTGTGTGCAATGATTAAACCATTTTATTGGCATAGTACAGTATCCATCTATGATCTTACTGTAGTACTTACCTTAAAAAAACAGCTGTAAAGCAGTTATTAAAACCACCAATCACTTGTTTACCCTTTAATTATTAAGCTGCCCTTTCCTGAAAGCATCTTCATATTTTGCCACAGTGATGCGAAGATGTTGCATATAGTTGCCTAATGCTCGTGCTTGGTGAAGGTACAGTCTTTGGATATGTTTGCTGAAATCACTTGCATCAAATAAAATAGCAATATTTAATGCAAGTAAAACATATCTTACGTGCATCTTTTACCATGAATGCAGACTAACCAGTTGTGTTAGTTATTGCTCTAAGTCTCCCTTCAGTTTGATTTCCCAAAAGTCTCAATATAAAGCTTTTCAGAGAAACTCCTGTATTGCAGATCTCCAGGAAGCCATGTGGTTTTACCAAGCCACTGTGACTCAGCGTACATCTGTATGTTTCTGTGGAAATAAAAGCTCCAAACAGCCTGCCTGAGCTGAGTTGGGCTAGACCATGAAGTCTCATCCACTCAAAAAAATACCATGTGTTGCTCTTCTGGCTGCTCTGCCTCTCCGAGCTACAGGTCTGGAAGTGCAATCTTGTGTTTCTAGTGCTGAGCTTAATTGAAGGTTGCAATTAGGAAATACACGAGTTGAGATAGACTTTAGAAAGTCCATTTGCACTTATGCACCTACTGCCATACGTCCTGTCCTCTCACTGGACAGGATCTGCTCTATCTAGGACAAAAACCCAGAGAGAATTCTCACAGGTGAATTTTTTTCCCCATCACTTTCCCCTGAGTTACTGCTTCTATCAGACACTGCATAGCCACTTGTGGAGATAGCCTGATAGCTGTCTGCTGTTGATCTGCAGTAGTTTGCTTCTCTGAACTGATTTGAGAAATGGAAAAGATGAGACTTCTGTGAACATCAGTCCTTTGGGAGAGATTAAGAGAAACATAACATGCTATGCAATCAGACTTTCTTGTGGAGAGCCATTACATAGGCAGCTTGGGAAATGGCCACACATCATGAGAGATGCTGATGAGTTTAGATTAGAAAGAATTGGAATAATGTAACAAAAAATGTTTACTTAAAACAGCTGCAGAATTGTAACCTTTAAATACTATTGATATCTATTAGGATTACCTAATCATTTTCACATGGAGATTTATTTTGAAATCTTCCCAAGGACCTACAGAATCCTTGAACTACACGTGCAGACTTTATTAACTCATCCATGACATACATGATCCTGCATTTTTCTGGGCCTGTGTCCAGCCTGTGTGTGTAGAGGCAGATGTGTGGTGCTGACAGAATCTTGGAAGGCATGGGCAAAACTTTTTTTCCTTTTTCTTGGTGGAAATAGATGTGTGTCTTGACTTCTATAGGATAACATAGTTTTTTAAAAAAACAGCTTTCTTTAAGCATTTCCTTCAAGTTGTAGGTGTTTTACTAGTTAACTTTCTAAACTCCTTAACACGTATCAAACTTTGTTCTTGAAGTGGTTTCTTGCGGAATGATTTCCAGTCTACCTTTGTGCTGTCTGTTTCTGCCCAGCTGCTTCAGACCTCTCTGCTCTGCACACTTGGCATTCACTCTCTGCTAACTTGCACTCATCTTCTGCATTTCTTCAAAGAGCATTGTGCCAATGCAGCCCCAGTGCACTGTTGTGGTATGTACAGGATACCCACACCCCCCCCAAATCATCTCACCGGTTGTGTCTGCTTGGGCCAATGGACAGCCAAATTTACCATCACATGCAAGGAGTCATTAGCACAGCAATCCAAAGACAAGGAATATATCACTCATACTTGTACCACTGCTTCAGGCCTATGAGAGTTGTTTGCAGCTACACGAGGCACGTTCCCGCTTTGAGGAGTTTTGCGTACCTATCTGTGTGTTGCCGGCTACTATTAGCAACAATGTGCCAGGCACAGACTTTAGCATTGGTGCTGACACTGCCTTGAATGCTATTGTGGAGGTAAGACTGTGTATCTCTTAACAGTTAAGATCATAAAATGCATAAGATGAGGATACCTAAAGACCTCAAAATGTCTCTTTTTCTAAAATAATTAATTTACTGTGGGTTTTTTATGTTCTATAGTGAAGATGTTTGCCAAGACTGATTAAAGATTAACCTGATACAAACTAATTATGTTGGATGTTTAACTCTTCGGGGCTCTCTTTTGTATTCCAAGACTGCTGTGTTAGTTCTTAGGATGTTTACTTTTATGGAGAATAAAATATTTTGCTTGCTTTGATTTTGGTTTGGTATCTTGTGCATCTCCTCACTTAGGTGAAAGAAAGCACGTTTTATAAGTAAATGCCACAGTTACTTCATGGGCTAATGACTGAGCTCAGTGCAGTGGAGGATTCGAAGTATTTGGTTAACACGAACCACATGAATAATCCCATTAATCTTAACACATATGAAGTGCATATGAGTGCATGCATAGTAAAAGCAGTTAAGTCTGTCACTGATGCTAACAGTGTGAGGCCAGAACTTGCTATGAATGAGTTTTCCATTTCAGTCACAATAGGTTTTCTAGCTTTAGTCTGCCATATGTTTTTCCCTTGGGTACAACTCATAAGTTCTTTACTATCCTATTGTCAGTTCCCTTTGCAGCTACAACAGAGTTGAGATCTAATGCAAACGAATAAGTAAACCTCTGACCAGCTCTGGGTTTTATCAAACCCCTTGTTATCAATCTATATAACTAATTGTAAAGTAATTAGCCAAGACAGTCAGAATAGGGACCAGGGGTTTGAGAAATGCAGGTTTGTTTTTCTGCTCTGACACAATTATTTATGTAGAATGACAAACCTCCAGTAGATAATTGGAAGAGCTGTGTCAGAATAGATTGTGGCTTGGTCTTCGGGAGATGCAGTACAGGTAAAGATGACCTAAAGTGTAGGGTGGGTGAACTCTAGCAGTGTGTTCATAGACAGGACACAAGTTCTTTTACCACTCCATTAGCTGCTTTTCCCCCTCACCTACATCTCTAAATGTCAGGCTAAGTCTGCTAATTATGACTGATACCACGTCCAACAGTGGTGTGTCTGTAAAAGCGAAAACATGAAAACACAGTGAGAGGAAAAAAATACGGTATATACTGCTGCTGCTTATTTCACTGTTTTTATTAAATTTAATTTCAATTTGTACAGCCTTCGGTAATGCGTGCAGTAAAAATAAAAATTGTTGCATCTGTTAAATTCCATTATGGTTAGACTGTCATGCTAAAAATAGAACACTTGGTTTGATGAAGTTCTGAGTGTCATATTTTCACAAAGCTACGTCAGTTCATAGGAAAGCTCAACTACCAGTGGAATTCCAGAGATACTCCTGAAAGAGTCACCATGCCTCCACGTTTAAAATTCCTGACTTCTGCATGAGGCACTTGGTCTTTGGCCTTCCTAGCCTTCGGAGCACTGCATGAATTAGTGATTCTTTAAAATGCATCTGCACCATTTTTGTATTTGGGTATTTCTGTCACAGTCATTCTGAGAGAGCGAGAACAGTACAGAGTTTCTGCTGTGTTTCTTGCATAGTCAAATATAGAAATCCTTCTAAATAAATCTAAAGTGAGTAATCCTAAAAGCAACTAATGATTTTCATCCTTGCTTAGAACTTGGAGCTTCTCAAAAAGGCAGAAAATGCCATTCTCCCAGCAGCTGGAAAATGTTCTTGGAAAGCTTGGCATTTACAGATCTTTCAAGTCTCTGAAAACGAAGGAGATGTTCATGCATGTATTTATTCGGTGTCTGAAGCCAAGATTTTTTATAAGTTAAACACATAGTACCCATCCAGTTCCAGGCAGCCTTTAAAAAATGAATTAAAATCGGTTCAGTGCTACATCTGCCACTATTAAAAGTAACTGGGATATTTATAAATTTGTTACTGATTGCCATATGCCAGTACTGTGCAAAAATTCTTATGAAACCACATCTGGAAGGGGATAGTAAACTGCTTGAGGACATTCAAGATGGGTAAAAGTGTCCTTTTGAAAAACTGATCAAGGTCAAAGTAGCCTTTTGAGATGCAGCTTGTTACAGGGATGCTGCCCACTTAGGATAATAGAATGTCAATCCATACTCTGAATACATGTGAATTCTGCACTTGTGTGTGTATGTACACATAACATGCACATATGCCGATACATAATTAAAGTAGACATAAACTACACCACATGTATCTTCTCATAGCTGGGGCTAAATAAATTAATTCACTGTTTTTACATCAGTGTGTTAAACTGCATGATGTTAGAAGTTCTAGTCTTTTATTATCAAGTTTTCTTACATATCAGTTAATTATTTGTTCTGTGGTCTGTTAGGCATATTTTTAAAGACTGTATTGCTCACAGTCTGAACTTTAGCTTAAAGTATTATTTTCAGTTCGCTGAATGAAGGTTCTGGTTATAAATAACCTCAGATGTACAGCATCTGCAGTTACTCATTCAGAAAATCAGTAAGGCATAGGGTTTTTTTTAACATTTTCATAATGCAGGTTTCAAGATGATGAACTTGCCAGGTACTTTTATTTCTTACTTTTACTAAACAGAGCTGGTATGTGGACTGTACATTAGTTTTGCAGAATTTTTGTCACCAAGTCTGGTATAACCTATTTATTTTTAAGGAAAAGAAGGAAGTAGTGTCTTTTCCTTTCTGTTATTCACTTTCTGAAAGGAAGACAGATTATCTGATCACTTTAAAATAACTTTGAAGAGTAGAAAAACTCATTCTGGGAAGTGAGAGTTTGTCAGTTAGCTTTTTGAGTAGTATTAAAACCTGGAGATGCATACTAACCTAGTTCCTAGGTTTCTAAGTTTTCCTAAGTTTCTTAGGTCCTACCACACTGGATATTTTCTCTGTTATTTTCCAAGTCTCTTAGGCATCACTAGTAACTATTGGTGTTAATTGGTGGCATGTAAGGAACAGATCTCTTTGTGGAGAAAGTTTCTTGTACTGGTCAGAGTAAGATGAAAGCAGAGGTTGCGGTATTTCATAGTAAGTATGTACCTATTAATAAAAACCCAAAAACATTAGAAAAATAAGCTCCTGTAGTGCTTAAAAGAATTATATTTATGTGGATATCATTACTGGAAAGTAAACAGTAGGGCACTACATGTTCAGGAATTTAGTAGACTGTTACTGTTGAGTATGAATGGGAATGCAGTGAATTTTAAAATCAATATTAAGAAGAAATAAACTCTTCAGTAATCAGTAGAGTTAAAGAAAAGAAACTTACTCATACCAGAGCTAATTAAAAAGCTCCTTTGTATCTATTTGTATCTTTTGTTAGAAAGCCATCACAACTTCTGATTGCATGCACAAATCACAATTAAGTCTTGTTTTAATATTTGCAGGAAGCAAATAAATAAAAGAACTGATAGTAGCAAGACACTTTATTTTGACTGTGTTGTTCACTGTATGATTTATAAAAATCGCTTTATTTGGTAATAATTGTAGTTAAATGGGTTACGCTATGTTGGAATTTTTTAGGATGTGTATTTTAAATTCTTTAACCTCTTTTACCGTTAAGTTACATAAAATTGCATGACATAAACACAGAAATTCAGGCTGTTTTTATTTTAAACTTACAGTATCTTGTCTTTGATTAGACGTGTGATCGCATCAAACAGTCGGCCTCGTGTCTTCATCATTGAGACCATGGGTGGTTACTGTGGTTACCTGGCCAACATGGGGGCCCTTGCGGCAGGAGCTGATGCTGCTTACATCTTCGAAGAACAGTTTGATATTCGAGAGCTCCAGGTACACAGCGTCAGAAATGGTTTCCTCGTTTCTAAGTAGATCCTGAAATTGCTGTACACATGCAGTTTAGTGTGTATATTTGAAGGAGATGGCTCATGTTACAAAAACCCCAGATGTTTAGATTGTGTCGTTCGTCAGTAGCACTTCCAGGTCGTGCTGGTTCTCATGCCGTGTGTATCAAGGAACATACACCGGTTACTTTTGGCATCAGCTGACTGACAAAATGATTGTATTGGTCATTAACACTGAGAAGTGATTTGTTTCATTTTTATTCTTCTGTTTGAAATTCACGTGGCATGTAAATAAACAGACCTGGGTAGTTTTAAAAGAAAAACAAAAGTTGGGGGGGGTGGAAATAAGTACCTTTTCCATTGTGTTGGATGGCTGTTCCTGCCGGGAGTTGAACGGGTGTACGAGATCCTGGCATCGATACCACAACTATTCAGAGCTTGTTTGGAGGTGTTAGTACAATATAACGATCTCGGGCTTTTAGGATCAGAGACGGGGGTGTAAGCCGATAATGGAACTTCTCCCCTGTGAGGCTTTTACACGCCTGAGGTCGTTGGTGCTAGTGGCAGGCATGGGCAAATACAGAGCTACAGACACAAATTTCCTGGAAGGGAGAGAGGTATGAAATGAATCGGAATTCCTCTCCACTCATTTCTCAGTGGCACGTACTTTTCGTGTCATACATGGGAGTACCAGCACAGCAGGACATAGCTGTATCCATAGCAGGATATTTGCAAGGACTGGGAGTTAGGGCAAGGTACAATTTTTAGTGGCAATTTCTATCTTTTTGTGCATACTGACGTTATCCAACTTTGTGCTATACCAGAAGAGCATACAAAAACCTACAACTTTGTGTTGCTGTTGAAATCAGTGATTTGTGGCAGGGAGGAAGAAGTTATTTAACCCAAGATGTATAGCCCTACACACTGTATTATCCAGGCTCTCCAAAAACATGCTGATTATTTGAATTTGCAGGTAATGGTTGATGTGGAACACTTCACAAAGTTCACAGGATACGTAGGCTCATTACAGTTGTTTCAGAGTTCTGTATGGCTTCTTAATACTTCTGTTGTTTCCAGGCTAATGTGGAACATTTGACTGAAAAAATGAAAACCAGTATCCAGCGTGGTCTGGTGCTGAGGTAAGCAAAAGTAGTTGAAATAGATGGCATCGGTGATGCTGAGCACTTCCAGCCAAGCAGGCTCTTCGGCCACTTACAAAGGCACTCCAAGTCTGTATTCCTTGATTATTCCTTTAGCGTGGGATTTCTGCTAAAGCTGTATCTCCAGAAGGCAAGTCTGGGATCTGTCTGGATGCTCAAGGCCGAAATTTCCTTCTTTCTATGTAAATATATTTACTCTACAATCTAGTGTTTTGTCCTGCTTTTCAGCCTATTTTCTCATCGCCTTTGTATTTTATTGTAGGTTCTTGCTTACTAAAGATCGTGTGAAAACGAGCCGATGTGTACACATGCAGTGTGGCCTTTGCTATAAAAATCCTACTTAGCTTTTAGGAGAACACACAATCAAATAGCTTACAAAAATCAAAGCATTTAAGACATTTTGATCAGCATATTTTAAAATTACACCTCCTTGGGCAACATGAATCGGGCTGTAGCTTCTCGAGTACTTACTTTCAGTATGCTGAGTTGTGAAGGGCTGAAAAACGAACACCACAATAAATTGTAGGAGGATACTTTTGTATTTGTTCAGGTTCTACTAGTTTATGACTAGGGTGAAAAAAATGTCCTACGTTACAGTATTGGCAAGGAACGGCCTGAGGTGCTAGCCCTTATCCATGCTTTTATAAAGGGCAGAATGACACTGCGTGTTGACTTTTTGTTCTAACTCAGTTTTTCCTCTGCATAACGAACTTGTCAGACCTCAAATGGTGTTTTTCACTCCCTTATTCAAGAGAGGATTCCAAGTGACCTGCCAGTGATGTCAGTAAAAGTAATGCAGCCTTCAGAACCACAAACATGTTACATGAAAATGAACATACGTGATTAGATGGAAATATCCCCACAGTGATCTGCTTAACAGTATGTTTGCTGACTGTATCTGGCCTTAATTCTTGCAGGAATGAGAACTGCAACGAGAACTACACAACTGACTTCATTTATCAGCTGTATTCCGAGGAAGGAAAAGGAGTGTTTGACTGTCGAAAAAATGTATTGGGCCACATGCAGCAGGTACGAATGACCTGAAAATTACAGACAGGCCTAACTTGGTGTGAACAGGGCGTGCACGCTAGTCCAGCATTTCAGGCAAGGTTTTGACTCTGGATTAAAGAAAAAAGTGAGGATTTTTGTTTGTAGGTAATTCAGAAGTTTTTGTTAGCATTATATTTTATTGCAATTCCTTAAAAATCTAAGGAAAAGCATTAGATTATTTTTTTTAATTTCAATTCAGTATTTTATATTGATTTTTTTTAATTCCTGTCTCATTAATAAACAATTACACTTCTTAAAAATAGATAATACAGCTATCTTCTTGTTATTGTAATACCTCCTTAGAATGCTTTTCTGCCCATCCATCACGTATCCAGCTTCCAACTCCTGTAGGATGAGATTTCATTAAGGAGACAGTAGTGAGCTACTCCTTGTGGTCACAGTACCTGGCATCTCTCTGACTCACTGTTGTGCTTGTCAGCGGGCAGAAGACTCACGTAGAATAAAAAAGACCTCTAGAGCCAAATTTCTCAAGTACCAGTCGTGAAACGACTGTCTTTCCATTGAAGTCATTTCCAGATGTATGTATATTCCCCTTACTCATGTGTTTTTAGATTGTTCAGCACCAGAGTTGGCACTCACGGCATAAAATTTAACCAGGTTTATTCTGAAGGGCAAGACTAGCATTGGTCAGACAATCTGTTTGGAAGGAGCTGCTTCATGTGTGATTTCAGTCCCATCAGCTGCACTGACAACGGACAAAAGAGTCACACTTCATAAAATGCAGACAGGGCTTAAAAAAAACCCAGTACGACACTTCTTGCCCCAGAACCCTATGTTGTATAGGCTGCTGTAATACCTGGCATTGAAAGCAGCCAAAAACCAGGAATTACGCAATTAGCAGTCTAGGAAGTCCCACCTCAGTTGTTCTGTCCTGGTATTACATACATGGCATTATTTATGGCCTTCCTGACTCTGGCTGCAAGAGCGCTGCGCTTCACAGGGTCAGCGCTGGCGTTGCTTGAGCTCCTCGGGGACATCCGTCCCGTGACCTTCCCTGGCTGCATCGCGCTGGGTTGCCCTGTGGTAGTGCGGTAGGATCTGCCCCAGGGGAAGCGGAAGAAAGGGGAAATGGGGCCCTGCGTTTATCCAGGGGAAAAGTGTTAGTGAGTCCGTGAGAATTCTACGAGTTCTTAACGCAAGTCTTAAATGTTCTCGCTTGATTTGCGTGGTGGGGTTTATGGCTTGTTCCTCTCTCCGAGTGGGGGAAGCGGAAATAAGAGGCAGAGCAGGCCTTTAAGAGAGATGACATGCACTGGTTCGTGACTGAACTAACCCGCAGTTCCCTCTTCACACAGGGTGGTGCGCCTTCGCCATTCGACAGAAACTTCGGGACAAAAATTTCTGCAAAAGCTATGCAGTGGATCTCCAAAAAACTGAAAGAAACCTACCGAAAAGGTGCAGAAATACTTGGCGCTCTCTCTTGTGCCTGTCTTGGGTTAGCTGTCGGCGTGAGGGACTACTGCTGAAACACGGGGGAGCGTACAGGAGTGTGTTAGCCAACGTGGTTCTGTCCCTCCATGACGTTTGTTGGGCGGTAGTGCCTTGCTGTGCTTCCTGCTGCCAGACATCCCCTCACGTGGGGTCAGTGATTCAGGGAGCTGTTTTCTTCTCTGTCACAGAATCACAGGATGGTTTGGGTTGGAAGGGACCTTAAAGATCATCCAGTTCCAACCCCCCTGCCATGGGCAGGGACACCTTCCATAGCCCAAGTTGCTCAAAGCCACATCCAGCCTGGCCTTGAACACTTCCAGGGATGGGGCATCCACAGCTCCTCTGGGCAACCTGTTCCAGTGCCTCACCACCCTCTCTGTGAAGAACTTCTTCCTGATATCTAATCTAAACCTCCCCACTTTAACTTAAACCTGTTACCCCTTGTGCTGTCCTGTCTTTAACAAATGCCAGTGTGACTGCAGTTTTCGTGTGTGAAGGAATTGATGGTTATATAGTTACATCTGTTCTTCCTTTTTGTTTCATGGTGGCTACATGGGAGACAGAAGAAGGTAATGTGTCTTCTTTGGGAATTTTTGTAAAGCACTGTTTACTAAAATCTAATTTTAAATGGGATGTTAAAATTCAGCCTTATTGTTGCCTAATTACACTGTATTTTCATTGCTAATCACCAAAGCTAAATTACGAAAGTGAAGAATTCCTAACCCTATTAAAGTACTAATTGGTGTTTTATCATTACATTAAATATTCAGTAACTGGAATTAAGCTACTGTTGAGCTCCCCATTCCATTTAATTACAGCAAAAGGGTGTTTGCCCTCATGTGTGTGACTAAGAAAGATCCTGAATTATTTAATTCTCTTTAGGAAAAGTGTTTGCCAACACGGATGACTCCGTCTGTTTGCTGGGGATGCGTAGACGCAACCTGGTCTTCCAACCTGTGGCTGAGCTGAAGAGTGAAACAGACTTTGTGTACGTACACGCTGCTCAGGCTTCCTCTTGCCACACTGAAGGAGCATCTTCCCCACTGTGCTGACACTCAGCCTTTGCCAGCTGTTTCATTCCCTCTTGTCTTGGGCCTGCGTTCAGCCAGTGATTCCCCTGGATTGTTTGCTTGCCCCTTCCTCCTTTCTCTTAGACTTGGAAGTCTCCTGTTAGAAATTCTGGGACTCCACTGTCCTTTTAAATAACGTTCTCATAGTTGTCTCTGCTCTAAGGCCCAGAATTGCTTCACCTCTGCTGCTCTTTAGCAGGGCAGCATTTTTGCACCCAGCTGGGTATTGCACTTGCCTATAGGAAACATCTGTAAAAGCTGTTGGTTTCTTCAGTTTCTCCCCATTGGGGTCAGTGTTTATGTCCCACCATAAGTGTCAATACCTGACTGTAGTTGTAAGGGAGCCATTAGTGTTGTCAAATGACCTACAAAATGTGTCTTTGCTACCACGTAAATCACCTCATCTATTTTTTTCCTCCCACCACAGACACAGGATCCCCAGGGAGCAGTGGTGGCTGAAGCTGCGCCCACTGATGAAAATCCTGGCCAAGTACAAGACCAGTTACGACGTTTCAGACTCCGGCCAGCTGGAGCATGTTGCTATGCACAGCCCAAAGGAAGCGGAACCAGGAGCCATCTAAAGACATCCCCTTTAGATTCCTGTAATAGATGCACATTGTGAGTAACAATGCTTTAGAATCGTTACAGCTTCGTTTTGTAACACTTAAATTATTGTACCAGCACTTTATGTCAAGCAAGGCATTCAGCTGTCACACAGATTTTGTCCTGTGTTTGTGTTACGTTTGAAACAAGCCCTTAGCACCTAATGGAGAAGCACCAGTTCCAATCCTGCCCTTTAAGAGCAAGTGCGACACTGTTCTATGCACTCTGTAAGTTACTCATCTACTGCACTTTGTTTGAGAGTACTTACACCCCAAAAATACGTGTAGATGGCTAGCTTTGTGTTGAGTTACAGGATGTGCTTAATGTACCTGAAGTGAAATAAAGTACTGTTGCAAACTTCACAAGTTATGTGTCTGGCCTGCTTTTTGATCCCCATAATGGTAAAAAAGGGTAAAATTGAAGTTAGTTTTTGGCTGGCTTTGCCAGTCTGTTCCCTCACAGCAGCTCATGTGTTGATCTGGAACTTGACAAAATGTTAAACACTAGGCTGTGTCACATCCAAACATGACTGAGTTTTGCCCAAATAGGCAAGATGCGTGGAATTTAGCGTGCACCAAGGCAGCAGTGAGTTGTCTGGGACATTGCTGTTCATCACCAACTTGGCTTGATGGAGGGAGGCTGTGCTGTCACAGAGCTGCTCTGCCTACAGGTAGCTGATGCCAAGGGAGCTACAACTGCCCCACCAAGGAATGAAACCTAGCAGTTCAAGGGACATAGTTTTTTTTTTCTTTAGTTCTTGATTAATGAAAACATTCTTGGCAAATGCTTTTGCTCTAGGCCAGCTTGCACTGGTCCAAGAATTTCACCTCTAGCAGCACAATATGAATGCCCCCAGCCATCCCTCTTAATCATGGCCCTGTTTCCAAAAACCAGCAAAATCGAACCGGAGTCCTATTCCATTATTCCTAGCTGCAGTATGCCAGCAGCCGGCCTGCTTTGAACACTCAAATTTTCTCAAAGTAAACGCTTCAGGCCCTGCAGGACACTCAGCTAAGAGCATCAAGGGGGTGCCAAGAGGCAGGGGCTGGGACAGGCAGTGGCTCGTCTCACAGCAGACCACCAGCTTGATCCCAAGATCCAACTACGAGCTTTTTAACCGCAGCAACTTTAAGATACGCTATTGGAGCTGGAATTACCGCAGCTGCTGGCACCAGACTTGCTCTCCAAGTTTTACACACCCAACAGCAGCCACGATTTCAAACAAACACCACTGGAAACAACAGTTTTACATATACAAAAATATTTAATTTATATAGTATTCATATGTGACTGAGGAGTGAGTCTTCAGTAAAACATTAAGGTCTGTCTTTGCCATAACAGAGCAAGTCATCGTTGCTCTCAAACACTGTGTGGTTAGAGAAGTTTTCACATAGTTATTTCAAGGACAGCTTTTAACTGGTTTGTTGGACGCTGTTAAAAGCGGCAATGACCACTGAAGCTGGAGCACAGCACGGTTAGAAGTTACTACAGAACACTGATTACACAGTCACACAGATTGGGTTTTGCCTTAGCTTGGATGTTCAGCAGCAATTCATCGCTTGACCCAAGAGGGATCTTTGGCGATATCTGCATTTTCTGGGCCGAGTACAGCTTGACCACGTGTGCACTTCCCAGCTGCAAGATACCTGCAGGGAAAAAACAAAGAAAGGAGAAACTGCTGCACTAGGTTACCCCTAACTCTGCTATATGAGCTGAAACTATTCCCACCTTGGGGAAAAAGTGCTTTTACAGCATCTTTTGGATTTACAGTGTTATTCCAACAGCCTATCCAGCCTCTCTCCTTAACCTCGCATCCTTCAGGGGGGCCGGGGGGGGATTCTGAAGTCTAAAGTGGAATTCTGAAGTAGCACAAAATGTCACTAGTCTGGAAGAAGCAGCTGCCACAGCCAGGGGCTGGGGGGCTGAGGGCACTTCTCCAGGCAGTCTGTGGCCCCTTCAAAAGTAAAACCACCTCCTGCCAACTCAGACTGCAGGAGGAAGTCACACCTGCTAAAATGAGATACACAGGGAGTAAGGAACATCTCTCTCTCTGGGTTAATGCTGCAAACAGTGAAAGTAGGACAGAAGGAAAGACATCCAAGAACCTTATTATGACAATTGCTGCACACTGTGTCCTTCCTCAAATCTAAGTTTTGGTTGCATTCCACAAGACGTTTTCTTCAGCTGAGCACAGACCTACCTGTTTGATACCTCGACCAGGTTATCGCCAGTCACAGCAAAAAGCTGTTCTCTGTGCGACTGCTTCATTCCATCTGAAATCCCGTATAGGAAGTGATCCATTCCTAGGAGAAAGAGGAAAAGGCAGGCAGAGTGCATCGGTGTTCCGGAATCTCCGTTACACCAAGTGCGTGAACACGTGCAAGCTACGACAGGTTTGTGTGCTGGAGGGGAAGAGGAGATGATGGTTAGGCCGGTGTTCCGAGATGGAACCTAACTGTAAATCAAAAGGTTAGAACTGGGTAAATCCGTTTTCTGAGGCAGTAGGAGTTACCCATTTAGGGAAGAAGAAATTAGTTTTCTATACTGGCAGATGGAATCAGTTTGTCAACAATCTGAAGATCATGGTGGTTCTGAAAACCTGATCACTTTAAGTTGTCCAGACCAAAACTAAGTTCCTTTAGCTTCATTTAAAGTTTTCTTGTTTAATGAGTTAGTGTTAATGCAGGTACATATTAACATAACACTGTTTTTAACCATACAACGCCGTTACAGGGGAGGAGCGTACTCTACCGTCGCAGGTTTTGAAGTAGCTGATAAGGGGGGAGGGAGGGAGAGGCGAGGAGAGCACAGCAGTGTGTGAGCAAACCGGGAAGTTGTGAAGATGCCACCAAGCCATCCTAAGTACGCAGAGAGGACAACACATGCCATCCTAAGTCCACACACAGCAGACCCCACACACCACTGCAGCAGACACTGTCATGCTTTAACTTCCTCCAAAAAGTATCCCCAAAGGTCAGTGACAGCCAATATCCAGACCTGCGTCAGGAAAACAATCCTTCAACTTCTCCCTGAATCAGAAAGGCGAGTGCTGCTTCTCACTTGCATTTAAGGCCCTTGCAAAGCCTAAAATTGTTTCCTCAGCCTTCCAGCTGTATTCACCTGACGCCCAGGAGCAGCAAGAACGCGAAAACCGAATGCACGTGGTGATTCTGAACGGGAACAGGAGAAACGGAATGCTTCCTCCAACTGTCTGGACTGAACCGTCTTGCATCTCCCCAGTCCAAGTTGTATCACACGATATAGTTCAGCAGACTGTTTTCTTCCCTTTCAACTCAAAACCACAAACATCGGCAGCACCGGGAGGCTGGTGGGAACGTACCTTTATCCGAAGGAGCTATTGGTGCATCCACAGCAGCAAATACTGCTAGCTTAGCTTCCTCAATATCTTGTTGGGTGAAATCTCCTGATTTGGCCCATTCAACTGCTTTTTCAAATGTTTTCAAGGTGGCTAACGAGTTTGGGTCTCTTAGGGGAAAAAAAAAGTAAAATTAATTACTTCAGTCTTAAAACCTGAAATACTCCAACTGCTTTGTTCTCGTTTCATTCGCAGTTGCTACGCAGCATGCAAACGTACATACGTGGGGATTAAACCAAATGGCAAACTTCCTTTTTGTTTACAAAATGAGGTTTTGGGGTTGGTTTTTCTTCGGGGGTGTGTGTGTGTGTGTGTGTGTGTGTGGTGTGTGGGATGTTGGAGTCTGGTTCTTTCTTTTTTCCACCCCCAAAGAAAGAGGTGCTGTAAACCAGGCTCATTTTGAGTTTAGGTACACAAACGCAGTTCCGTAACAGCAGATCCAGAGTGGTGTGTGTTGGTATTCAAGAGGCTGGTAAACCAGCACTGGAACAGGTTTGTCAGAGAAGCTGTGGATGCCCCATCCCTGGAAGTGTTCAAGGCCCGGCTGGATGATCGAGTGGAGGGTGTCCCTGCCCATGGCAGGGGGCTGGAACTACATGGTCTTTAAGGTCCCTTCCAACCCAAACCATCCTGTGATTCTACAATTGACGGCACGCCATTGGTTTGCTGCAGCAGCGTAGGAAGCGCAACTGCCATCAGCAACTGTGGTATTTATGATACGCCGTATCTTCTCTGAGTTGTGTTTCCTGCTACACCTGTTCCTGCTCTCTGTCAAACAGGTGCAACAGGTCAACAACTGCTGAAATACTAAACAGGACAAGTCCTACCACGCTGAAGCCTCGTAGAGGCAAGGCTGCTCGGACTGCAGGCAGGAATCCCGACCAAGCACTGGGCTAGGCCGCCTTTGCTCTGGGAAACGACTGCAGCCTGGACTCCAGCCACAGGGTATTTCCAGTGGGGATTATAACTAGTCCTTAATTCCCCCAGTTCAGATGTCATCCCAGAGTGCTTTGGTAAGACCAGTGCAAGGTACCTGTTCGGGACTGGCAAAAGAGAGGGCGAAGCAACCCCAAGCAATTCCCGCTGATCACCAGCGGTGCTCTGCTGAACGGCTGATGATTCCAGCCAGTCAGGAAGCTGATGGTTTTCAAACTCAAGGACCTCAGGGAACATCATCATTCTGCTTCCTGGTCTCAAATTTAGAACAGTCTTGATTTCCCTTTTTTTAGGGGTTCCTCAACCCAGGAAGGAGCAAGTGGAAGCCAGTTTTACATAAATCTGATACCAAGACAGTAAATGTCTGAGTCGAGACACAACAACAGTTGCTGCCAGCAAAGGTCAGTCAGCCCTTCCCAAGGGCAGAGACCAGAGAGAGCAAGGAGGGGTTTATCAACAGAATTCATACACCTGAAGCGACTAATCTGAAAACCATCAGCACTGAATCACTTTCTTGTGATTCAACATTCTTTTTATTTCACTTGATCTTTAAAGAGAGCAACGAGTAAGTCAAAGAAAAGATAATGTAAGTGCAGTCAGCCGTCCCCTCCGACACGGACAGGAAAGAACGAACTTACTGTTACCTGTAGGAGTAGAAAGTGAATACGCCACTGTGACTAAGTTTAGCACCTCCACCATAAGCCCCTCCTTTCTCTCTGATTTCTCTATGCAGGAACTTCGCTGTCATCAGCCGTGCAAGAATTCGAAGGCTGTGATGAGAGAAATGCCAACAGCAAAGACGTTAGATTAACTGGACAACAGTAATAGTTGCAGCTTACTCGGAGGTTCAGTGAGATCCCCATTTGCAGTGCACTGCTCCTTGCAAGCTACAGCAGTAACCGTACTCAGTATTTAATAACTGATGAATAGTGTGACAGCACTGTAAGAGGGGCAACGGCTTGGGCACATCCCTCGATTACTTCACCTCAGTGAAATATAAGAGCAGCCTGTCATCAGCCGTGCAAGAATTCGAAGGCTGTGATGAGAGAA